GTCTTTTGGAAGTCATTTTAGTTGGATAGGGAGAGTATTGCAACAATGGTGATGGTGATCAGAATATGGACTCCAAATATTTGGAGGAACTTGTCAAGACTATTGACCTTGGTGTCTGCATACCCATGCAAACTGTTCTAGGAACTTGGGCATAGCTTTGGGGCTAGGGCTGGGGGATGGTTTGTTAGCTGTTATCACCCTAAGAGCTGAAATAGACCAAAATTAACTGCAATTCTTGTTGAACCTTTCGATTGGAAGTTGCAAGTCTTTAATAGACTGCAGACTTCCAGAATAGTTACATAAGACAGATTCTGCCAGTGCAATTGTTGTCTAGGTAGAAAGATGGTATGTGCTTCCTGCTCTGCAATCTTCCTGAGGTCACTTGATATGTATTTTATAGTTTACAGTGCAGGAAACCTTGATTTATTTTTGGTATCTGATTTTTTAGTGCTTTTATAAATGGTATTGTAAAAGTTTCTATGTTGTTAAATAGTTTTGAAAATGTAGTAATTACTATATTCTATTAGAAGGGAATGCTGTAGTTTAATAATTTTATAGTTTTTTATTTAAAAAATTTTACCTACTTAAATAATACCATAATGAGTTATTTCATTAATAGTTATTATGGGTGAGAGTATTGTGTGTAAAGATTTAATTCATTCTATGACTATTGGCAGTAATAGCATTTTGATTTCCCAATGGTTTGTAGCAAATTAATTCTTAAAATTAGTGAACTTTATTGATAGATTACTGACAGATAATACTGTATTAGTTTTAGTTATACAACATAATGATTCACTATGTGTATGAACGGGAAATGATTAATATAATAAGTTTAGTTAACCTCTATCACCACACACAGTTATATTTAAGATCTGTCTTGGTAACTTTCAAATATACAGTGCATGTATAATGGAAACATGCCTTTTTATCATCTTCATCTATTTTTGCTGACCATCCTTCTGGCCCCCTCCATCTCCATCAACCACTAACCTGTTGTCTATATCTAGATGATTTTTTTTCTTTTTAATATTCTACGTGTAAGTGAGGTCATACAATATTTGTCTTTCTCTGACTTATTTCACTTAGCATAATACCTCTGGGTCCTTCCATGTTATCACAAATAGCAGGATTTCTTTCTTTGTAAATGGTAAGATGTCCTTTTTTATGGTTGAATCATATTCCTCTGTGTGTGTGTGTGTGTGTGTGTGTGTGTGTGTGTATTACATTTTCTTTATCCCTTTCTCTATTGATGGACACTTAGGTTGTTTCTGTTTCTTGGCCATTGTAAATAATGCTACAGTGAACATGGGGATTGTAAGGATACCTTTTTGAAATAATTATTTTATTTCCCAAGGATTAATATGCAGTAGCTAAATTGCTGAATGATATAGTAGTTTTATACTTAATTTTTTTAGGAACCTCCACAGTATTTTCCGTGGTAGATGCACCAATTTACATTTCTACCAACAGTGCACAAGAGTTCCCTTTCTCTACATCCTTGTCATCACTTGTTATTTGTCTTTTTGATAATAGCCATTCTAACAGGTGTGAAGTGATACCTCATTGTGGTTTTGATTTGCATTTCCATCATGATTAGTGACATTGAGCTTATGTATATCTCTTGGCCATCTTTAAGTCTTCTTTGAAAAAAAATTGCTCAGTTTCTATGTCCAGTTTTTAATTGTATTCTTTTTCTCTTTTGGATTTTGGATTTTAACTCCTTTTTGGATATATGATTTACAGATACTTCTATTCCATAGGTTGTCTTTTCATTTTGTTGATAGTTTCCTTTGCTAAAGGGAAGCTTCGTAGTTTGTTATATTATTTACATTGCTTTTGTTGTCTTTGCTTTGTTGTTAAATCCACAGGTCATCTCTAAGACCAATGTCAAGGAGCTTCCCTTCATGTTTTCTTCTAGGAGTTTTATGGTTTCAGTTCTTTAATCCATTTTGAGTTGATTTTTGTGAATAATGTAAGATATTGGTCCAGTTTCATTCTTTTGCATGTGGCTGGCTGGCTTTCCCAACATTTATTTCTCCATTGTGTACTCTTTGCTCCTTTGTCATAAGTTAATTGACCATACGTGTGTGGATTATTTAAAAAAATTTTTATTATGGTGACATTGGTTTACAAAATCCAGTAAGTTTCAGGTGTACAAGTGTGGATTTATTTTTGACTTTCTATTCTGGATTGATCTCTATGTGTGTTTTTCTATCAATACCATACTCTTTTGATTACTGTAGCTGTGTAATATAATTTTGAACCAGGAAGTGTGATTTCTTCTGCTTTGATCTTTCTCAAGATGCTTCGGCTATTTGGGGTCTTTTGTGGTTCCATAGACTTTATTAAGATTGTTCTATTTCTTTGAAAAAGGTCATCGAAATGTTGATAAGGATTGAATTGAACCTGTAGGTTGCTTTAGACATTTTAACAATATTGTCTTCTAATCCACGAGTTCAAAATGTCTTTCCATTTATTTTTGTCATCTTCAATTTCTTTTATCAATCAATGTCTTACAGTTTTCAGTGCACAGGTCTTTATCTTGGCTATATTTGTTCTCAGTTTTTTTATTCTTTTTGATGCAGTTATAAATGGGCTTGTTTTTTAAATTTCTCTTCTTGATATTTTGCTGTTAGTGTATAGAAATGCAACTGATTTTTGTATATTGATTTTTTATCTTGCAACTTTACTTAATTTATTGATTAGTTCTAAAAGTTTTTTGGTGGATTCTTCAGTTTTCTACATATAAATTATATTATCTGCAAAAACGACGGTTTTACTTCTTCATTTCTTAATTAGATACCTTTTATTTATTTGTCTTGCCTAATCGCTCTTTCTAGGATTTCCAGTGCTATGTTGCTGAATAAGAGTAATGAGCGTAGGCACTATTGTCTTGGTCTTTATCTCAGAGGAAAAGATTTTAATCTTTCACTGTTGAGTATGATGTTACCTGTGAGTTTGTTGTATTGGCCTTTATTGTATTGAGGTACATTCCTTCTATATCCAGTATGTTGAGAGTTTTTTCATGAAAGGATGTTGAATTTTATCAAATACCTCTTCTGTATCTATTGGGTGACTATATGATTTTTATTTTTTATTCTGTTAATGTGTTGTATCATATTTATTTGTGGATGTTGGGACATATATGTATCCCTGGAATAAATCTCACTTGACCATGTGTAGCATTTTATCTTTGATGTATTGTTGAATTTGGTTTCCCAATATTTTGTAGAAAATTTTTGCATCTATATTCGTTAGGAATATTGTCCTATGCTTTTCTTTTCCTGTAGTGTCTATACTTGGTTTGGTATCAGGATAACGATGGCTTCCTAAAATAAGTTTAGGAGTGTTCCCCTCCTTTCAATTTTTGGGAAGAGTTTAGGAAGGATTGGCATTAATTCTTTTGAAATTGTTTGGTAGAATTACCAGTGAAATCATCTGGTCCTGGGCTTTTCTGTATTGAGAGTTTTTTTATTACTAATTCATCTACTTACATTGTTGGTCCTTTCGTATTTTCTTTTTCTTTATGATTCATGTTATATGTTTCTGGTTATTTATCTATATCTTCTAGGTAATCCAATTTGTTGTCATATAATTGCTCATAGTAGCCTCTTGATTATTCTGTGTATTTTTGTAGTATCAGTGATTATCTTGATTATTCTGTGTATTTTTGTAGTATCAGTTTCTCTTTTATGTCTCTTTTGATTTCTGTTTATATTTGAGTCTTTTCTTTTTTTTCTTAAGTTTATCTAGTTATAGGTTTGTCAGTTTGGTTTCTCTCTTTAAAAAAAAAACAGTTCTAAGTTTTGTTGATTTTTTTCTATTGTTTTTTGGTCTTTTATTTATTTCTGCTCTGATCTTTGTTATTTCCTTTCTCTTGATTCATTTGTTCTTTCTCTAGTACTTTAGGTATTAAGTGAGGTTGTTTGTTGGAGTTCTTTCTTGTTTCTTAATGTAGGCATTTGTCACTATATACTTCCTTCTTAGAGCTGCTTTTGTAGGATTTTATAGGATTTGATACGTTGTGCTTGCACTTTTGTTTGTTTCAGGGTATTTCTTGATCTTCTTTTTGACCAGCTGGTTTATTCAGGATCATATTGTTTAATCTACATATATATGAATTTCCTAGCTTTCCTTCTGTTATTGATTCCTTGATTCATAATATTGTAGTTGGAAAAGATACTTGATATGATTTCAGTCTTTTTAAATTTGCTAAGGTTGTTTTGTGGCCTGTTTTATGATTTATCCTGGTGACTGTGTCATGTGCGCTTGAGAAGAATATGTATTTTGGTGCTATTGGAAGGTGTGTTCTATAAATGCATATTAGGTCCATTTGATCTAATGTATGGTTCCATTCTAAAGTTTCTTTGTTATTTTGTCTAGGTGACTTATTCATTGCTGAAAGTGGGTACTGAGGTCTCTTGTTATATTAAATTTTTATTAATAGTGACATTGTGTTCATCGTTCCAAAACTTGTTTTTCAAAAACCTTATATTTTATATGTTTAACTGGTATTTAAAATTATTTTCTTTATATGTAACATTTTTACCACACTCCAAACTTTATTTTGTACTTAACTTTTGATATGTGAACCATGCTTGAAACATATTAACAATTATTTGGCTTGTAATTTTTAAAATACTCATAGGTATGATTATCATGTACTGTGTTCATGGAATTTTTACTTTTTAGATCTCTTTGATGTATTCAATAATAGTATTATTCTTTTGCTCATTTTTCATATTCAGAATCCCGTGGTGTTGGTATCTTATTCCTCTTCCACCCCAAAGAAACATGGGGAATTTAATGGTAGAATAGGGATGGGAACTTATTTCTCAAAACTTAGTTCATTGTTATTACTTTTTTACTGTTCAGATCATATACTCTTGTCTATGAGACTGTACTTGTAACTTACTGACTTTATCTTGAATATAGACCGGCTGGCTTCAAAATTCATTTGAGTTTAGAGGAATTGAGTATATTATTTTGTTTTGCAGGGTTTCACAACTAAGTAAGAGAGTCTATAATAAATATGCAAAGCAGGCTGCACATACCAAAGAAAAGAGAAGAGATGATGATAGCATTTCTTTTATAATGTCTGATACTCAACCTAAAGGTTCGTTAACCTTAGAAAACTGTTATTTCAATTTTTGTGTATTGCATTTGTAATAATTTTTGTTATAAATAACTTTATTTAATTTTACATTTAAAGGCTATGTGAAAATAAAGGGAGATTATTTAGTAACTCAAAGAAAATTGCCAAATTAACTATTTGCATACTGTAATATATATTTCTTGATTTATTTACTAAGTTCAAAAGTAAATTTGGATATTTTGTTGTTGTCGTTGGAGTTGGGCATATACCTATAAATTTACAATATTAGTTTAGCTATTTCTAAGAGTTGTTCCATGGATATGTTTGGGAATTTATATTACTGCTAACTTGATTATTATTATTATTAGCTTCCCACTGTCTATCCTCCTATTATGAAATACATTCTTTGTTCATTAGAATTTCTCTCAACTCTAGGAGGATGCCAGTACAAGCCTCTATTAGCATTTTTAAAGGTAAATACATACTAGACTACTGAAAATTCTTTGTAGGCCCCCTGGCATGTAGGGTTAATGAACTGACTTCTTTTCTCTTTTCTGTCTCTCTTTTAAGATTTTAAAATAATTTACAAAAATTTGCGCCAGAACAATTTACTACGTTAGTCATATGTGAAACTAACATCTTCAGGGGTCTCTTGGATTATTGATAGCTTCAAACTAGTGAGGTATTTTGTTTTCTGAATGATTTTATAAATTATTTGCAAGAAAAGATGGTGCTTTAATAACACTATGCAAAATTTCTTTGTACTTCCTTTGAAACACAGCTATTTACACATTTTTAGTAGCCTTTTCCATAGGAGAGGAAAACTTATAAAGAAACTAGACTAATAACTTTGTATACAAGAAACCAGCTACAACTCTTATGAGGGCAATCTTTAGAGAAAACGTGACTCTATAGTCAGAATCTTTCAATTAAACGACTATCTGCATATAATGAAAGACATTTCTTATGAATTGTGCTTTTTCAGGAAATAATTACATTTAGTTATCAAATAAAAATACAAATATTTGTACAAATGGGATTAATTCATATACTGTCAAGACACAGTTAAATCCTCAGATTCCACTGCTTTTCTAGGTAAAGTAAAAATAGTTGACTAAAAAGCTTTCTGATTTGTGCCCTTCAGTATTACTTCAGAGTCATGGTGGAATTTTAGATTTATAGTTGGGAAAAAATGCATGGTAAAAGAAGTGCTTTATACTTTCTTAATACCCCTGAGTTTCTGAAACTTAGGTAATGAAGCTTTATTAAAACTCACCATGCTTTTATCCTATTGATAATTGTGTCTAATACAGTTTGTTTAATACAAGGCCATAGATTAATGGGAGTTCTGAATTAAATGACAGGTGTGCCATTCTTTTGTAGTATATTGTTTGCTTTGTGGAATTTGTTTTTATGAAAATAATACATTGGAAATATTTAATATTTTTTGGTTTACAGGAATTTTTCATCTCTTTGATTTTATATGCTAGTGATACTTGCAGGTTAAATTGTATATGGTATGCAGGTAGAATCCTATATTTATATAATGTTTAGCTTTAGCTAATAAATTTATTTCTGTTTTGTATGAGGTAGTCCTGGCCAATGTGCAAATACCTGTATAATAGAGTTTTTCTTGAGCCACTTTCATCAGTCTCTTTGTTATAGGATTTATGTTTTAAATTTTAATTTGATACAGTTTTTATGTGTAGAAGTCATATTTGACTATCTTTACAGTTTACAGAATTACATATAAAATTTATTGTACTTTTCAAAATATTGTGTTGATGATTTTGGGAGTTAAAGAGAATTTTCTTTGGAAATTGGGGAGGTAGTAAAGAGAATTTTCTTTGGAAATTGGAAGACTATTGACTATCTTGAAATTTGCCCTCCTTCCTGTCCCAGTACCTGCCTTTTAAGCAAAAACAAAGAGATGAATGCTAGTCGTTAGGTATCTATGAAACTAGAATAATAGCAAGAATAGTTTGAAGAGAAGGGGTGTAGTATTAAAAGAAGTTTGAATGAACGGAGAGGTCAGGCTAGTAGTCAGTGTTACATGAATTATAAGTCATGGATTCAGAGAAGCTTTGGGACTTGCTGTGCATAAACTTTCAGTTTGTAATTGTATGGTATAGATTCTGAAAGCAAAATAATTCAAGATAAGAATCAGGTAGAACCTATTAGAAGGTATTTTTGAATGATAATATATTTGATAACTGAAATACTAAGCAGTTTTTATAATAATTGTCATGGTTTCAAAATAATGCTTTCTTGACTTAAAAAATTTAAGTCAAGAGCAATTTATTCTCCATAGGGCAGAAAATTTATTGGAGACTTCAAATAATAGGGTCTAGATTTTTAAAAAGAAGAAACCAATTGTGAAGCAAATTGATAGCCTTGTGAATGGTTACATATCACACAGTCAGATGCTGAGGAAAGGTATTTCAGCTCTTTTTAAAAGAGCAGTGATCAGTACTTTGCTCTTTCAAATTATTGTCCCTTGAATTTCACTTAAAAAATATAAAAAACTTACATTTTAAAAGGACAACTAATTTCTAAAATCAATGAATTATCAAAATGTTTTAAGACATGAATTTTCTAAATTTTATTAAGACTTTTATTATTACAGTTGAGTGCAATTATAGCAAAAGGTAAAATGTGGTTTGGTTGCTTTGCTTTGGTTACTAAAGAATACTCTCTTTTTATATATTTTCCTCATCTTATATTTATTATACAATGAACATTCACTTTGTTTATGCAGTTTAAAATAGGATATTTCTTTATATTCATCCATGTCAATAAGAGAATTTAACAGGGGTCTTCTTTTTAAAATTAGCTTTGTAAATAGTATATAATTTTGATAATATTTCAAAGAGTTCTTCTTAAAAAGATTCTTTCTGTCCTTTTTGGTTATATTTATATCTGTTGTTTTTTAAGACCTCGATAGTGGAAGTAGACATGATCATCTTGAAGAGCGTAGCAGAAACAAGGATGATACATATTCTGATTCAAAAGTGGAGCCCACTCTGATTTCCAGGAAGAGAAAGAAAAGACTTAGAAGTAATTTATCTGATTCTCATAATTCTACTTCTTTATTTCAGTCAGCAGAACAGACAGTAAGTAGAGGTATTTAGATATCACATGAAATAATTTGTGCTATGATAAAAATGAATTGACCGTGACCAAGTAATATTATTGTAGTTTTCAGCTTTTATCATCAGATTTCTTCCTTTTGTCTATTTTTAAATTCTGTTTGATTTTTGAAAAGTAATTTAAATGAAACTTTTTTTGCATTAAGACAGTTATTGGAACAAATTTTAAATGTTATGAATGAGTAAAAATGTTAAAATTGCTCTTCCTCAGATACCACGCCTTCCTTTTTAAAAAATTTTTCTTTATTTTAGCCAAATACTATTCATATTGTCTAGGTAATTGCTTTTTCATTTGCTCTGTAAAGTTATTACCAGATTTCTTTTATCAGTAGTAATTTACTTACCAATTTCTTTAAACGTCTCTTTATCTAGAATTTAGGGAATTTTTTGTAAGTAAAGAATACTTAATGCATTACCTATTTTCAAAGACTTAATAATAATTAAAATCAGGACTTTGCAGGGCCTTTCACTTATAAACATGATTTAGATTTATACAATAATTGAGTGCAGGCAGTGATTGATTTTTATAATTTTTCATATTGTTAGGAATCTTGAGTTTTTAATTTTTTATTCTTGTTACTAGTCACATGATGTCATATGGCCTCATTACTTTTGCAAAATAAAACTAAAAAAAATTTCTCTCCTGAAGTTGACTTAATCATGGGAGGCCATCTGCAGCACTTTGAAATATGAAAGTCTTACCATCCCATCCTTTTAAAAATGTTTAAGCATCAGATTGGACAGATCAAACTCTGTATCTTTATACTTCAGAGACACTGGCAAGAATAATATAGTATAATTGTGTAGTTTTCTATCACTGTAATTATAGACATATAATATTTTTACTTTCATATTCTTCTTTAGGAATTTAAACTTAAAAAAATTCTTTATGCTAGCCAAATTTGGAAAATGCTGACTTTTTTGTATGCATTTATTTATGTTCAGAAAGAACAAGAAAATAACTCAACGGTATCCACTGAGTCTGAAAAGTCAAGTGAAAATCATTATCAAGACCCAAAACTGATAGATGAAATTACACCTGAACCTATAGAAAGTGATTTTACTATCCTATCCTCACTTAATAGTCAGGAGTTGATTTTGAGTGCAGCTCCCAAACGCACCTCTGACTGTTCAATCACTGAAACTTTTGAGAGCTCCGTTTCCACTGATACCCTGGAGAGTTCTACCCTGATTGAGAAGGATGAGAATGAATTGAACATAAAAGAAAAACCAGTTTTAAGTGAACACAGTGAAGGGAACCAGTCATTGATCTCAGCTGAACCAAGTAAGTCGCAGGAGGATTATAAAGGCTTTTAATTTTTTCTGCTTTTTAAATTTCTTCTCTCCAACAAATTTGACTAAGGCAATAAGGTGTTTATGACATCACTGCAGAATATATTAACTTTAGAAAAAAGACTTGGGGTTTGGAGACTTCATGAATTTTGTAATATTGATTAAGGTAAATAGTGGAGTACTTTTTTTTTTAGTATATTGTAATTTATCTCATCAGTAGATTTTATTTGTTTTTTCATCAGTAGATTTTAAAAGATTCTGTAAGGACAATTATTATTGTCATTTGGTTGCTGAAGTACAGAGAGTTTAAGTGCTATTTAATTATTGTCATTAATCTTGATTTAATTTTCTAATATTTTATATGGTCACATCATACATAAAAAGTTGCAAAAGATATACAGTAAATAGTCTTCTATATCTTCCCCTAGCCATCTATTGCCTCTTCCTGGAAGCAGCTAATGTAACAAGATTCAATGAACAATTTAGAGTGATGGCATAATAAGTTGTTAGAAGTAGAACTTGTTCCTAAGTTCTCGTGGCTTTATCCATTTTAAAATGTCTTAAGCTTCAACCTGCAGGTAATTGCTAAATAATAGCACTGATATTTATATTAGTTATATACAATAACTAATATAAATCAGATAATGAATAATAGGCCAGTTTCTAAATTGAATAAAGTTAGATTACATTTCATGGGACTGTTAAAGATATATTGCATGAATTAGAAAGTTCTGTTTTTGATATGTCATTACTGTGACACATTTAAAAAATACATTTTTCCTTTTTAGTTGTTGTTTCCAGTGATGAAGAAGGACCCATTGAACATAAAAGTTCAGAGATTCTTAAATTACAGTCTAAGCAAGACCATGCCATCACTAATGAAAATGAGAGTACTTCTAAATCACCATTGTCAGGACTACCACTGATTACATGTGATTCGGTACAGGTAATTTATTTCTGCTTTCTCATAGATAAATAGTGAAATATTCACTATTGGCTAATGACTATTTCTTGTTTCATCAAGGAGAATATTGTAATAAAAATTACAAATTTTCTTAGTTTGAATTTTGAGACAACTTTCATGTTAGTTTCAGAGAAGTATGTAATTGTCTTTATTTTGAAGTGAAATAATTATACTATTTTTTTCTGGTCATTCTGGTTTCAGTCTAAGTAGTCTGTTGAATATTTTTCCCTTTTTTAGTGATTCTCATTAGACATTTAAGCACTCTATCAGAACTTTTTCTAGAATTAAATGGTTTCCAGTATTTATCTGTCTGGTCTTGCAGTACTGTATTTACTTGGAATTATTTCTTTTCCTCACAGGCTATTAAGGCAGCATGATAGAGGAAATAGCATGTCTTCTGGAGATATACAGACCTGTGTTCAAATTGTGGCTCTGCCATTTGGGCATTTCACTTAACTTCTTAGGCCTGCGTTTCCTCATATAATAAATGAGGATAATGACACCTACCTCACAAGATTATTTTGAGTAGTAAATGAAATAACATATGAAGAATTTAGAACAGTGGTACAAATCTATCAGTTTGTTAAGCCCTTTGTCTCTTCTTATAGATAATAAGTGGAAGTTTGTATTAGTTTAATGTTTTTGACATAGTAGTTCGAAGAATAAAGCTCTAAAGTAAGGTTCAAATAATTTGTCAGTATTCATTCATATTACCAGCCTCTGATTATTGTATTTTTTTTGATTATTATATTTTTAAAAAATGATTATTGACTATTTAGAGTAATTTTATCAAGGTAAATGATAGTTTTTAAGAAAAAATAATCCAGATAATTATTTCTTCACAGAAAGAACAGTATAAAATCCTTCAGTTTCATTAATAATAATTTAAAGAAGTATTTGACTTTGAAAATCATTGTCAGCATTTGTAGACTATGTAGGAGTATATACATTTTATAATTTGTTCCTTGTTAGGCTTCATCTGAATTATGTCCATATAACCCTGTCATGGAAAATATTTCCTGTATTATACCGAGTAATGAGATGGCTCTACAAATGGATTTTATATTTACTTCTGTTTATATTGGTAAAATAAAAGGAGCTTCGAAAGGTTGTGTTACAGTAAGTATATTTAATTTTTTTTAAAGTTTTTGATCTTGAACAAGGGATTTTTAGATTGTTGTCTCATTTTAGTGAAAATGAAAATAGATTTGAGAATTTACATAGGACACTTTGAATATGTCATACCTACTTTGAAACATGTCTTTAATGGGGGAGGGTATCCTAAAATCATATGGAAGTGTCTTGAAATCATATCTTTGATCTGACTACTTTAATGAAAATCATATATGAAAAATTATATATGTAGTATGTATTGATATTCTTTGGGTTCTAAGACTAATTTAGTGGTGAAGTATATTTTTTCAGGGTGTTGTTGGGAGCACAAATAAGAAATCTCATTTTGCTGGTTTAACTTACTGTAAACTGAGTTCTCCATATTCCTGAACTTGTTATTTAAGGATCTCCAGGAATAGTTTTTGTTCTATTTTTCTATTTTTTTTAGTACTCTTCTTCATATATTATAGATGAAAGCCAGACTAGGTTTTACTCAGTTCTCTATATTTTCTCAACATTTCAGCCTGCTAAAATCCTAATCATCTTTTAAGACTTATCTGAAATGACTTCCTCTTCCAGGAAACCTTTCCTGAGTTTTTCTTCCTAGCCATAATTAACTTCTCCCTTTACTGTGTGCTTATAGCACTTTGTGCATATGTTATAAGATTTAGTCTATGTGTTTATATTGTTTATATTCTTGCCTGAACCTCTCTATTAGACTTTAAGCATTTTATGGTAAAGAGCCATGCTTTTATTTCCTTTTACCCTTCCATAAATGGCTCAAACCTAAGTAAGCCTTATAAACTTTAGTTAAATTGAATTGACTATATCAGTATAACTCAGTATAACTAGAAGTTTTATTAATATTTTGACTATATCAGTATAACTCAGTATAACTAGAAGTTTTATTAATATTTTACTGTGTTGGGAATTGAGCAGGGAATACAAAAATGGTAAGACATGGTCTTTGCTTTCAAGGAATTTATAGCATAATGGGAGAAACAGACATGTAAATAGATATTTACATTACAGTAAATGTACAATGGCAATATGTACAAGAAGGGTGCATATGAGAATGAGTACCCATATCTGTCTGGAGGAATCAGGGAAGACTTCACAGAGAAGACAGTATATGATTTAAGACATAAAGTAGATGTTTACATGGTGATCATACGGGGGAAGACCTAATCTCAATAGAGTAAATTATGAACAAATCCAGCAAAGTCTCAGATCTACAAATAATGGTAGCTAGTGATAAAGTTAAAATTGCTTTGATTGAAAGTACAAGAGCAATGCGATATAAAAATTAATATTCCCTGGTCCCTAGTTTTCAGATATTAATGATTTTGACGTGCTTGTGGTGATTTTACAGTTTTCTTTAAGGAATTTTATTCACTTTTCACAATTTCCCCTTCTATTTTGCTTTTGTAATTTTAAATTCAGGTTTAACCAATTTTTTGTTGAGTTCTTGGTAATGGCAAGAAATTACGTTACCTTAATATATGATAATAATTGATTAGCTGTGGAGGAAAATCCAACATAAATATTCAACAGTGGTTTTCATTGGTTAATATATTACTTATGTTATTACACAGTCAGTGGGCTTGTTATGGGCAAAAAACAAAACCAAACAAAAAACTACAAATGAGTAAAGGAATAATTAAAGAACAGCTATAATATTATATATTTAGAGACCACTGTATATTATTTTATATTCTTCATATTATATCTGTCTAAAACAAAAGAGTATAACATACATACTGTTTTATAACTCATCATAATTATATTAAATAAATTTAATTCATGTACTTGTCTGAGATACTTGGTTGTCCTTAATTCCTGACTACTGGACATTTTGATTCTCCCAGTATTTTGCTATGACAAATAGTAGGGGACTGCAAATAATCAATAAATGTCATAAAGTAGGCCTTAAAAATTTGGTTCATGTTTATTGGAAGCCTTCTTATAATTCACATAAAAAACTTAGATGTCTAATTGTAAGAAAGTGTTTCAGTAAATTAAGTAAATATATGCAGGTAAAATATATCCATGTGAGCAAAGGCGGAGAGGAATTCTGCAAAAATTAAGATAGTTATGTTTTGATGGAGAGAGCATAAACAATTTGAAAAATTACAAAAATAAATTAATAAGTGTTAAAACTTTGGAGTTTTTCAGAGGACTCTTTTTTTTTTTAAAAAAAAAAAAACCAACAGCCCTTTATTATATACTAAATTTCCATGTATACTTTAGATTGTACTGTTTATTTTCTTTCTTTGATCTATTTATCTATTCTTGCTCCAATACCCAATTTTTAAATTATTTATCTTTATGGCATGTTTTATTATTATTTTTAAAATTAGACTCAGGTATATAGTACATTGGTTAGACATTTAAATAGTTTATGAATTGATCTCCCCAGTTACTCTATCACCCATCTGGCTCTACACATAGCTGTCATACTATTTACTATATTCCCTATGCTGTCCTTTACATTTCTGTGACTATTTTGTAACTACTAATTTGTGCTTCTTCATTCCTTCACCTTTCTCTCCCAGCCCCTTTGCTGGCAGTCACCAGATTGTCCTCTGTATCCGTGAGTCTGTTTTCTTTTAGTTTGTTCCTTTTGTTTCTTAGATTCTACATGTAAGTGAAATCATATGCTATTTATCTTTGTCTAACTTATTTCACTCAGCATAATAACCTCTAGGTCCATCCATGTTGTCGCAAATGGTAGGGTTTCATTTTTTGTGTGTATGGCTAAGTATTATTCCATTGTATATATAAACCTTAACTTCTTCATCCAGTTGTCTATTGATGGGCATTTAGGTTGCTTCCATATCTTGGCTATTGTGAATAGTGTTGCCGTGGACATAGGGATGTATAGATCTTTACGAATTAGCGTTTTGGTTTTCTTTGGATAAATACGCAGAAGTGCCGTTGCTAGATCAAAAGAGTTCTATTTTTAATTCTTTGAGGCACCTCCAGACTGTTTTCTATAGTGGCTGTACCATTTTGCAATCCCATCAACAGTGTACAAGGATTCTTTTTTCTCCACATTCTTGCCAACACTTGTATTTTGATTTATTGGTGACAGCCATTTGATAGGTGTGAGGTGATAACTCATTGTGGTTTTAATTTACATTTCTCTGATGATTAGTGATCTTGAGCATCTTTCCATATGTTATTGGCCATCTGTATTTCCTCTTTGGAGAAATTCATGTCTTCTGCCCATTTTTAAATTGAATTGTTATTTTTATTGTTGAGTTGTGTGAGTTCTTTATACATTTTGGATATTAACCCCTTATCAGATGTATCATAGCGAATATCATCTCCTATTCGGTAGATTGTCTTTTTGTTTTGTTGATAGTTTCCTTTGTTGTGCTAAACTTTTTAGTTTGATGTAGTCTCCTTTATTTATTTCTTCTTTTGTTTCCCTTGCCCAAGGAGATATGTCAGAGAAGAAATTACTAAATAGCAATGTCAGAGAGTTTACTGCCTATGTTTTCTTCCAGAAGTTTTATAGTTTTGGGTCTTACATTTAAGTCTTTAATCCATTTTGAGTCCATTCCTATATATGGTGTAAGAAGGTGGTCCAGTTTCATTTTTTTTCCTGTATCTGTCCAGTTTTCCCAGCACCATTTGTTGAAGAGACCATCTTTACTCTATTGTGTATTCTTGCCTCCTTTGTCATAGATTAAATGACCATATAGACATGGATTTATTTTTGGGCTCTCTCTTCTGTTCCACTAATCTATGTGTCTGTTTTTATGCCAATACCATGCTGTTTTGATTACTATTGTCTTGTAGTATAGTAATATATCAAGTAGTGTGTTATCTCCTATTTTGTTCCTTCTTAAGATTGCCATGGCTATTTGGGATCTTTTATGATTCCATGTAAATTTTAGGATTATTTGTTCTTTTCCTCTGAAAGATGCCATTAGTATTTTGATAGGGATTGTATTAAGTCTTTAGATTGCTTTGGGTAGTATGGCATCTTAATAATGATGAGTCTTCTCACCCATGAGCACAGTATATCCTTCCATTTATTGTATCTTCTTCATTTTCTTTTTTCAATGACATAGTTTTCTAAGAACAGGTCTTTTACCTCTTTGGTTAATTTGATTCTTATGTATTTTATTGTTTTTGATGCAACTATAAACAGGGTTGTTTTCTTAATTTTTCTTTCTGAAAGTTCCTCATTGGTGTACACACACGCGCGCGCACACACACACACACACACAGCAGTTGTATTAAAGTGACAGAATAAGAAGGTGAATTTGACTAAATTAAACTAGAAAACATAATCAGATGCTAGTGACTAATGATAATAGTTTTCCTTGATTAAAAATCTTATTGAAAGCTGAGAGAAGTTCAGTAAGTTACTTAAGTTTATCTACTTACTGTTTGTATAAGCGAGTAGAGATAATAGAGGCAGAATTTGAACTCAGCTCTTAACTCATGTGCCATTTTGCTCAGATTTTGCTGTAGTGGCTGACTTTTGCTATGACATATGAGTTTTCTATTTGTGAGACTACAATATGAAATAATTTTTAAATTGGAAGAAATGGAGAAATAGAGTTCAGTGAAGTGGTTTCACTGAACATTGTTTGCTATTTATTTGGGACTCTGTTGGCACTTGATTTAGTTACCCATATACAAAGACCATATTTGATTGTGTTTTATGCTCACAACAATTTCATAAATGTATTGATCAAAAGAGAAACCTAACCAAAAAATAAATAAGCATGAATTCATTTGACATTAATGGAAAACAAATGTCAAAGTGCAAGCATATTTTAGATGGTACATGTAGGATTTAGGTGCTCCACAACTCTTGAGAGTTTATTTTTAAAGCAACACTTAAGGAGTACAAATATATTCAAGAGGTACCTAGAGAAAATTAGTGACTTGGTAGGAAGAGCAGAAAGAGCAAGAACCTTGCTGAATCCTCAGTCAGAGGGGAATTTTTATTAGAGAACAAAGGAAGATGAATGCTGGGAATGTCAACAAAGCCAGGAATCAAACCCTGTTTTGTGGCTTATTTACCAAAACCAGTGGCACCTTGTGAGGTCTCTTGGCAGTTTCTTCTGGACTTTATTTAAACATACAGGAAACATTTTTGAAAAATATATTAAGTAAATTCTTACTCGTTTTTATAAATGAGCATTTAAGAATTAAATTATTTGTACCTGGTTCTTAAACTTCCATAAAATTAAGTCTTTGCAGTGAGACATATTCTTGGTTTATTGATAAAAGGCTTGGGCACTTTTAGTATAGTCTTCGAATATGTACTTGTGGTTTGAAAAAGAAAAATTTTGAAAATTTTGAATAGTAACATTTTTTTTTTTTGTATTTTTTCTTTAGTTCACACCAAAGTATGTTAAGATCCCATTTCAAGGTAAGCTATCATTGTCTTACTGCTTCTTTTCACTGTAATTTGGAGTATAAAATAATTGTTCAGCAAAAATTCTGAAATCTTTCTGCAATCAGTTCTTCATAATTTTTTCCATTATAGAATTTAAGTAAAACTAAGGTTAATAATGTTTTCAACTTAACATTTTTTTTTCAGCAACTTCAAAAGGTGTTAAAATGTTTTATAATACTGAAAATAGCATACTATTGTTTTAATGACTTCAAGTCAAGTAATATTAAGGAACTCATGGTAATTTCTTGGGATTAACAGAAATTAAGTTTTGATAGCAAAGTATATAAAAATGGAAGAAAAACTATAAGGAAAGAAGCATAAGGAAAATTTTTAATGTTGTATACAAATATGTAAAATGGTTTTGCTTAAGGGTTAAGAGATTTTTTAAAATACCATTTTTTAACCTGACTAAGGCAAAGTACATTGAAAAATATATCTGCAACTTGTAGAGACTCAGCTACCATTTTCTTAGCTGGAAACATTTCTGAATAAATAATGACACTAGAAAACAAATAATAAGCAATAGATAATAGTCTCTCTAGAGAATGAATTATGAAAGGAATGAAGAAAAAATATATACACACAGCACTTTAGAAATGAAATAAATAAGAGGAAGCTTTTGTTCTAAAACTGAAGATGTGATTACAATAACTTTAACTGAACTCCACAGATAGCTATGTACAGAAACCATAACTATATGATAATGAATCTAGTAACTAAGAAACTTCTAAAAGTAATAAGAATATATAAGGAACAGAATAAATATATTCCTAATTCTAATTAGGAAATTTTAGTTAGTTATTACAAAATAATATAACATTAGCTATTTAGAAGAAACAAAGAACTGTGATTTAAAAGGAAATAATAATTTCAGAAAAGATAGTGCCTTTAAAGACCTGTGTAACAGAGCTATCTCTCAAATCCTTTTTTTATTGAGATATAATTGACATTAATTTTAGATGTGCATCATAATGATTCAATATCTGTGTGTACAATTGACCCATGAACAACACAAGTTTGAATTGTGTGGGTCCACATATGCGTGATTTTTTTTTTCAATAAATATATGGTTAGCCTTATACATACACAGGTTTTGCATCTATGGATTCAACCAATCATGGATCGAAACAGTATTTTCATATGCAGAGGGTCTATTGTTTGTATTGTTCTATGCCATTTTACAAAAGGGACTTGAACATCCACAGATTTTGGTATTTGTGAGGGAGAGAGTTCTGGATACTGGTGTCCCTAACCTCATGTTAAGGGTCAATTGTATTGCAAAATTATTTCCACAATAAGTCTAGTAAACATGCATTCCCATACTAAGTTACAAAAATTATTTTTTGTGATTAAGACTTTTAAGATATCCTCTGTTAGCAACTTTCAGATATGCAATACAGTATTATTAACTATAGTCACCATACTGTACATTACATCCCCAGGACTTATTTCTTTTATAACTGGAAATTTGCACCGTTTGACCTTCTTTACTCATTTTGCCTATCCTATGCCCTGCTTCTGGGAACCACCAATCTGATCTCTGTATTTACGAGCTTGGCTTTTTATTTTTTATTTTTATTTAAGATTCTGTATTTAAGTGCTATCAAATGGTATTTGTTGTTCTCTGACTTATTTCACTTAGCATAATGTCTTCAAGGTCTATCCATGTTGTCAAGATTTCATTATTTTTTATTGCATTTCACTATTCCTCTGTGTGTGTGTGTGTGTGTGTTTGTGCGTTTGTGCGTGTTTGTGCGTGTGTGTGCATGTGCACATAGCTCTTTTTGAATTAGTGTTTTTGTTTTCTTTGGAGAAATACCCAGAAGTGGAATTGCTAGATCATATGGTAGTTCTATTCTAAAGTTTTTGAGGAACCTCCATACTATTTTCTGTAGTGGCTGTACCAATTTACATTCCCACAACAGTGTACAAGAGTACTCTTTTTCCCTGCATCCTTGCCAACACTTGTTATATCTTACCTTTTTGAAAATAGCTGTTCTAACAGGTGTGAGGTGATATTGTGGTTTTGATTTGCATTTCCGTGATTAGTGATGTCCAGCACCTTTTCATGTACCCATTGGCCATCTGTATGTCTTCTTTGGAAAAATGGGTGGATAGGACAACATGACCCAAGAACTGGAGTATTCATCTTTCTATTATTGAACCATAAGAGTTCTTAAAATATTATAAATACAAGTTTCTTTAGAGTACACGTGGGATCCTAAGAAAGAAGTAAAAAAGATCCAAAAGTTTTAACTAGCTACCATGTATTTGATTCCCTTTACCCACTTCACCCTCCACCTACTCCCCTATATTTGACCCCTTTTACCCCATCTACCTCCCCTCTCCTCCCCTACCCTCTACCCTCTAGTAACCACTAGTCTATAGTCCATGTCCATGAGTCTCTGTTTGTTTGTCTGTTCCTTTGTTGCTTTTAGGTTTATATCCCACATATAAGTGATATTTTGTAATTTTCAACTTTTTCTGTCTGGCTTATTTTGCTTAGCGTGATTATCTCAAGTTCCATTCATGTGGTTGCAAATGGCTGTATTTCATCTCTTCTTATGGCTGAGTAATATTCCATTGTATATATGTACTGTAGCTTCTTTAGCCAGTCATCTATCATAGGACACTTTGGTTGGTTTCATGTCCTGGCCACTGTAAATAATGCTGCTATGAATATCCGTGTGCAGATATCTTTATGGATATGATTTTTTAACTCTTTGGGGTAAATACCTAGTAGAAGGATTGCTGGATCTTATGGTAGATCAATTCTTAGTTTTTTGAGGAACCTCCATGCTATTTTCCATAGTGGCTGTGCCAATTTGCAGTCCCACCAGCAGTGTATGAGGGTTCTTTTTCTCCGCATCTTCTCCAGCATTTGTTATTATTTGTCTTGTTGATTATAGCCATTCTAACAGGTGTGAGGTGGTATCTCAGTGTGGTTTTGATTTGCATTTCTCTAATAACTAGTGATGTTGAGCATCTTTTCATATGTTTATTGGCCATTTGTATGTCCTCTGGGGAGAAATGTCTGTTCGGATCCTCTGCCCATTTTTTGATTGGATTTTTTTGTTTTGTTTTGTTTTGTTATTGAGTCATATGAGTTATTTGTATATTTTGGATATTAAGCCCTTATTGGAGATGTTGCTTGCAAATATATTTTCCCATTCGGATGGTTGTCTCTTTACCTTGTTGATGATTTCTTTTGCTGAGCAGAAGCTTTTTAGTTTGATGTAGTCCCATTCATTTATTTTAGCTTTTACTTCCCTTGCTTTTGAGGTCAAATTCATAAACTCTTCTTTAAGTCCAAGGTCTTCGAGTTTAGTTCCTATGATTTCTTCTATGCATTTTATTGTTTCAGGTCTTATATTCAGGTCCTTAATCCATTTTGAGTTAATTTTGGTGTGTGGTAATAGACAACAGTTTAGTTTCATTCTTTTGCAGGTGGCTTTCCAGTTTTCCCAGCACCATTTATTGAAGAGGCTTTCTTTTCTCTACTGTATGTTTTTCGCTTTTTTGTCAAAAATTATTTGCCCATGTAAATATGGATTTACTTCTGGACTCTCGATTCTCTTCCACTGGTCCATGTGTCTGTTTTGCTGCAACACCATGCCATTATGATTACTGTTGCTTTGTAGTATAATTTGAAGTTGGGCAGAGTGATGCTTCCAGCCTCATTCTTTTTTTCTCAGGATGGCTTTGGCAGTTCAGGGTCTTTTGTGCTTCTATACAAATCTGATGATTTTTTTGTTTCATTTCTTCAAAAAATGCCGATGGGATTTTGATGGAGATTGCATTAAATCTGTATAAAGCTTTAGGTAATTGACTTGTAGGAATTTTTTTATAGTTTTTGGATATTAACCCCTTTTCAGATATATGATTTGCAAATATTTTTTCCCATTCAGTAGGTCATCTTTTTGTTTTGTTGCAGATTTCCTCTGCTGTGCAGAAGCTTTTTATTTTGATATAGTCTCACTACATCTAACTATAACCTGTATAACAGTCCTACCTCTCAATTTCTTATGATACAAACCTCAAAAATGATATTTTAGGTTTTCATAATTAATATTTCTACCTTGTTTCAAATACTGCTTTCTTTTATAACTTTCCTATCTTATGTGATTTTAAAAGATTATTTTAATTAAAAATTTGGAAAATACTCATTAGTGGTAATGAGTTTACTATTCAAAAATTGAAGAGAATAATATTCGTCTTTTTCCCCAAATCCTGTGTATACTAAGTTCCAATATATAGAAATCTTTTAAAAACAAGGCATGCATATATAATTTCTTTTGTACATGGGGGAACCTAGGAGTCTAAATGTGTAGTCTTTTTTTAATAGGAGCTGAGGGAAAATCTGACTTTTCCATATTAGCTATTATGTTTGGCTGTGGCTTAAAGAAAATAGTTTATTTTTCCTTCACGTAGAAGAAATCCAGAGGTAGACTGAAAAGGACAGATAAGGTGTTTCTTTGGTCATCAGAAGCAGAGGCTTTTTTATTTTTCAACTCTGTCATCTCTGACATATAACTTACATCTTCGGGTTTGTCTCATGGTCCATATGGCTGCTCATACTTTAGGTAGTGTTCCAGGTAGAAAGCAGGAAAAAGGGGGATACAGTTAACAGGGCACATACCACCTATCTCTTACCCTTTCAAGAAGCCATTTTAGATGTGCATGCCACCTAACCTCTTCTATGTACACATTGTCAGCTAGAACTTAGTCATATGACCATACATCTTTTTGCAAAGGAAACTAGGAAATAGAGCTTTTGAAAGCTAGGTATCTTGTATCCTAAATAAAATTAAGGTTCTGTTACTAAGCTCCCTATAAATGTGTAGGAAAAGTGATAGGCAACTCCCACTTTCAATGTTTGCCATAGCCTCTAATAGAATAAACCAAATATTTGGGGAAATTTTGGTAATGAGGTAAATTTTATGATGGTGTTAAATTCCTTTATTTTTTAAAAAGGAAACTTAAAAGCAATGTTACTAAAGCTTGGAACATTTGGATTAGTAAGATCTAGATTTCACAGAAATAGTACAGCTATTTGGGGCTGTGAGCTGTATGAAGAAGAAGTGCTGTGAAGAAGTTTTGCTAAAGGTTCTCAAGTCCTCTTTTAATCTGTCTTTGCTGCCAGTTTTACTGATTTTTTCAGAATGGGGGATTTACAGTGTACATGGATTGGAAGAATTAATATTAAAATGTCCATACTATCCAAAGTGATCTACAAATTCAGTGTAATCCCTGTCAAGATTTCTTTTTCACAGAAATAAGAAAAAAAATCCCAAAATTTGTATGGAACAATAAAAGATCCTGAATAGCCAATCCTGAGAAGAACACAGGTGGGGGCATCACAATTCCTGATTTCAAACTATATTAACAAAGCTATAGTAATTGAAACAGTATGGTATTGGCAGAAAAATAAACATATAGATCAATGGAATAGAATTGAGAGCCCAAGAATAAACTCACACATATATGGTCAATTAATTTTCAACAAAGAATCCAAGAATATATAATGAGAAAAGGATAGTCTCCTTAATAAATAGTGCTAGGAAAGCTGGACAGCCACATACAAAAAGATGAAACTGAAACCATACCTCTACTGTACACAAAAACCAATTCAAAATGGATTAAAGGCCGAACATAAGACCTGAAACCATAAAACTCCTAGAAGAACGCATAGGCAGTAAACTTCTTATCATCCATCTTGGCAATGCTTTTTTTGGGTTTGATACCAAAAACTAAGAATACAAAAGCAAAAATAAACAAGTGGAACTGCATCAAACTAAAAGGCTTCTACAGCAAAGGAAGCTATCAACTTAAATGAAAAGGTAATGTAGAAAATGGTAGAGAATACTTCCAAATCACATATCTGATATGGGATTAATATCCAAAATATATAAATGACTCATACAAGCCAATAGCAAACAAGCAAACAAAAACAAAACAAACACCCTTCCCTGCCAGAAACCAAACAAAAAATCAATTCCGTTAAAAAATAGGCAGAGAAAAGACATTTTTCAAAGAGCTACAAATGGCCATTAAGCACATGAAAGATGCTCAGCATCTCTAATCAACAGGGAAATGCAAACCAAAACCACAACAAGTATCACTTCACGCCTGTTAAATTGGCTGTCATCAAAAAGTCAAGAGATAATGAATGTTGTGCACTGTTGGTAGGAATGTCAGTTGGTACAGCCACTATGAAAAATAATATGATGGTTCCTCCAAAAAATTAAAAATAGGACTAGCATATGATCTAGTGATCCCACTTCTAGGTATATATCCAAAGGAAATGAGAAACAAGATCTTAAAAATATATCTGTACTGCAGCATTATTCACAGTAGATGAGATATGGAAACAATCTGTGTCTGTCAACAGATGGATTAAGATGGAGTAGTATTCAGCCATGATAAAGAAGAACAACACGAATGGACCTTGAAAGCATTATGACAAGTGAGATGAAAGACAAATACCTCAGGATATCATTTATGTGTGAAATCTAAAAAAGCTATACTCACAGGAATAGAGACTTGAATAATGGTTACGAAGGGCTGAGGGGTAGGGAGAATGGGGAGATGTTGGAGTTAAAACTTCCAGTTATAAGATCAATAAGTTCTGGGGAACTAATATACAATATGGTGATTATAGTTATTAATACTGTATTATATACTTGAAAGTAGCTAAGAGAGTAGATCCTACATGTTCTCAACACAAGAATTAAATGGTATTTATGTGTCGTGATAGAAGTGTTAGCTAACATTATGGTGGTAATCGCTTTGCAATAAATAAGTGTATCAAATCAACAGATTTGATACCTTAAACTTACACAATGTTATATGTCAATTATATCTCAGTAAAACTGGAAAAAATTGGAAGTCAGTTTTAAAGAAAGACAGTAAAATGAAGGATAAGGAGTGAGGGAGAGGGGTGGAGAGAGAGCACAGACTTTAAAAGGTATTGGCCAATATGAAAGATTGTATGAAATGATGCAGAGAGAAACAGAACAAAAGAGATTGGAATGAAAAAAAATTTTTTTTTTAAAACAGGAGCCAGTAAAAAAGCATGGAAGAAGGGATGAGGAAGGGAGAAATAAAGGGATGAAAGAGGGGAAGGTGGAAGGAAAGAAGAAGGAAGAAAGGACAGACAGGCATGCAGGATACAGGTGGAGTAAGAAGGAAGAAAGAAAGAAAAAAGGGCAGAATGAAATGATGTGGGAAAAGATATAGAAAAAGACTATAAAAGAAGGAATAAAGAAGGAAAGGGGCAAGATCTAAAGGGAAGTGTGAGGAAAAAAAGTTTAAAGCGATGAGTCTGTAGGAAAGAGTAAAATACAAAAGAAAAAGAGTGTGAGAGAGACAGGGGGGTTTAAAAAGTAGGAACTAGTGAGAAAATTAAGCACAATTCTGGGCAGTGGGGAAAGAAACCTAAAAGTTAGTTAAAATATTGCAGTAAATTGTAAGATGGGTGGATGACAGGTAGATAGGAAGGTATGTAGGTAGGTATATAAAATGTAAATGGTTAGAGCCATAGACAAGTGATTGATAGTCTGTTGAAAGGAGCCTGTAAATAGAGAGTAAAAGAGAGGAGATAGCATATGATAGGATAGGACAGGATAGGAAGAGAGGACAGTAGGCAGATATGCATGCACACAGGAACAGAGGATAAATAGCATGAAATACAGAAAGGGAAAAGAAGAAGACATGAAGAATAAGGGAAGGAAAGAATGAGGAAAAGAGGAAGAAATATGAAAGAAAGAAAGAGATGTTTAATGTATTAATTTATAAGAAAAGGTAAAAAAAGAATGGCTGGCATGAGAACATTAAGATAACTAGTTAACGTTATTAGAATGCTTATTGTAAAATGCTTTGCAAACTTTAATGTTTATATGAATCACCTGGGGTTCTGATAAACTGAAGCTTCTGATTCAGTAGATCTAGGGTGGGGCCTGGTTTTCTGCATTTCTTACTGGCTCCCAAGAGATGCCAGTGTCACATGCTGAGGACTACAGTTTGAATAGCAAGGTGCCAGGAGATAATGAATGAGAGGCTAAATATTGAGATTTGTTTTGAATCGGTACCCATCTTGGGTTTATACTTAGCTGATATCCTAGTTCAGCTGCTTGTTTCCTTAAAGTTGTACTTAATGACCTTCAGGATTTCTTTATACCAGTTTTATGTTTCTTTGAATTAAAAAAAAAAAAAAAAAGTCCCCAGAAGAGATTCTTTTAGTTCTCTATGAGGGAGAAAGAGTGATAGTTCAGAGTGATTACCTACAAGTTTTGATAAGTAAAACGTAGAAGAATTTTAAAAGAAATATTATCGCAGACCATACAGAAGCTCATATTTATTCTTGAGAATCTTTTGATAGTGGTTCGTCTGGTAGTAGAATGTAGATGTATGGGAAAAGAAGGATAGACATAAATTGGCTTATGATAGCATTTGGAGTCTTGGATGATAGTAGTGACCAAGATAGAAATACTTAATTTTCTAAGTTATACTATGCTTAGTTTTCTGCATTGATAAGGTAGTCTTTTTTTTTTCTTTTTTCCCCCTTTTTGCTGGTGGTATTGAAACTCCTAGTAAGAAATTTCTCTGGACAAGGTTTTTATGCCATGGAAATTTAATTTCATATTTTCCTTTCTTGGATATAACTGAGATCATATAATGTGAGAAACTAAATTGTTACATTTAATTATCTTTTCATAATTATCTGACACTTTCTAATTGTAATATGACCTTTTTACTTTAATAATAGTTTGGGATGTTTCAGCTAAGTTTAGTGAAGTACACTAGAAATAATATTTTTGAAAAATTACATAATTCTTTTTGAAAAATGTAGTAAAGAAGAGTTATATAGTATAAAAGTATTGTTTTTCCTAAATAGATTAATTTATTAATTTGTTGTATTTTATTTATTTTAGTGTCCCTGAATGAAGTTTCATTGCTAGTGGATACCAAACATTTAAAGAGGTTTGGGTTATGGAAAAGTAAGGATGATGATCACAGTAAAAGGAGTCATGCTATCCTTTTCCTCTGGGTCTCTTCACATTATCTTGAGGAGATTCAGACTCAATTAGAAAACTCTATATTAAGCCAGCAATGTGAGTATAAGTGATTTCTAAATTTCAGGATAACCTGAGAAGTCCTGTAAATAAAGTAGTTTTCTTGAAAGATAATTTAATAGAATGTAATTTCATTAACTCAAAATTAAGTTCATTGAATTAAAAAAATTTTATCCCTTAATATTATATAAGATAAATTATTTTATTTATTCACATAATTTCTTCTGATACTTTCATTCAACCAAATGAAATCATCTTATAAAATAAAAAGAATACCTTATCTTTTAGTCAGTTGCCATCCCTGGCTGCCTTTCTTATGAGTTTCTTGCCTTTATTTTATAGTGAACTGTGACTGAACTAATCTGTAGTGAAGTTAAATAAAATACAGAGGTCTTTACCTTCAACATTTTCTTTAGTTTCTAAGAGAGAAACATGGTTTACTTATATATCCTTTCTCTAAGACTGGGTTGAGTACTTTTCTGTTTGCTCCCATAACACTTACCTATATGCATCTTGAAATATTTCCCAATTTCGTTTAGTTTCCAAGTCTAAAGGAGTCTGGTTTAGAATTGGGTAAATCAAATTAGTAAAGTTCTTTCTTATCTATTTGATCTCTACCTCCCCTCCCCAAACTCCTTTGCACATTAAAAATGTTAAGTAGTGAACTGAATTTTCTACCTTTAAAATTAGTTATTTTGCTATCCTAATTATCTCCAAATTAATTGGGAAAATTCATGATTACATAGCAGAGAATTTAGGGAAATATAGCCAGCCACTCATAATCATTATGGTGGGCGAAGTGTTTGATTAGAATGCCTTTTCATTAATAGATTTAATATGTGGGGGAGGCTAGAGAAAAGTAATTGCTTAGTTATCATTAATTAATTCATTTATTTATACATTCATTAACAAGTGTTTACTAGTACCTACTAAATGCCATGTCCTGGAAATATAGAGGTCAATACTATTGTGAAATTTTTGTTCTAATTACTAATGGCCTATTTGGGGATTTAATTTGCGTGAGTTATTAACTAACATAAAAAATACTTTTTTGGGTTATATATGAACTTTACTGTTATTAATAATCAAATTATTTTAATTGTACCCTTGAAAAATAATACTATTGATAAAAATTATTGTTTTTTTTTAATAGCAAAATCCAGTGAATTCATTTTCCTTGAGCTACACAATCCTATTACACAAAGAGAAGAATTGAAATTGAAAGATATTATGACAGAGATAAGTACCACCAATGGAGAACTAGAGCTTTCTTATCCATTGTCTTGGGTTCAGGCACTTCCTTTATTTCAGAACCTCTCTTCAAAAGAAAGCTCTTTTATTCATCATTATTATCCTTCAGCTTGCTCTTTTCCTGTGGTTGCTGCTGAAGAAATGAAGATGAAATCAACATCTCAGGTTAGTACATGATTAATATAATTGGTGCGGAGGAGGGAAGAGGTTTGGTAAAAATTCTTTCATTGAAATCAGGCTGGTTTCAAAATGCTGTGTTTTATCAAAAGGGCACTGGAGCAAACCTGAAAGAACTCTCAATTTCAAGTTAGAATAGTTTGCTCAGCAAAATCAATAATGATAGCATGTCATTATTACCAAAGAATAAAATAAAATCCCACAAATCTCTGTTGATACAAATAACTGAAATAATGAACTGAATAAATAAATATAAATGGTGGATAAAAGGACACATCTTTCTTAAAAAAGTATTCCAATTAATAAATATAAAAAGAATAAGAGAAATATAAAACCATCACTAGAAAAATGATAGTTATGATTGTTGCAGGCAAGGTCCACCGAGAGATCCTAAATTTAATGGGTGAAAACTTAAGGAAAAACAGGACATGTGCATGATCTCAAACTCTCTTCCCCAAAATATTTATTAATTATAAAAGGTATAAGTTTAAAGTGGAGAATCCTGACAGACATCACTGTAACCCAAGTGATCAGAGGTAACATCACCAGTAATAAGATATGTTGACAAAATGTACCTATCACATCATGCACTGAGAGGGGTACATTACTTCTGTATAGTCTTCCCAATATTGCATAACCTCAGTCTAATCATGAGAAAGGTCAGACAAACCTAGTTACGAAAAAACTAATACTCTTTCAAAATATCAAGATTATGAAAGACAAGGAAAGACTGAGGAATTGTAGGATCCTGAAACAAAAGATATTAATGAAATCAGAATAAAGCCTGTAATTTAGTTTATAATATTATGCAAAGGTTAATTTCTTATGTTTGATAATTGTACTATGGTAATATAAGATGTTAGTATTTATGGGAATCTGGGAGAGGCTTGTTTGTTTTTTGCAACTTTCTTCTGTAAGTCTATAATTATCTTTAAACGATTAATAGTAAGTTTAAAGTCTTTTTAAATTTTTTTAATTTTTAATTTTTTTCCCAGCTTTACTGAAATATAATAGACAATTAGTTGCTTATATTTATATCATACAATTTATTGTTTTTTTCAGTTATAGTTTACATACAATAATAGTTTCATCTGTACAGCACAGTTTTTAGAGATCTATATAACTCATAAAGTGATCACTCCACTAAATCTAGTACCCTTCTTTCCCCTTACATATTTATTACAACATTATTACTATTTTCCTTATACTACACTTTATATCTCCATGTCTATTTTGTAACCGTCCATTTGTACTTCCTAATCCCTTGGGTGCTCTTCAGAGAAGCTTCTCTAGTAACAAACTATAGAAATGATCCCTGAAAGTAGTCTTTAAAAAGTCTGTTTTTTAAAAAAAAAAAAAACAGCAACAACAACAACAACAAAATGTGGCTTGTGTATCTCTGCCAAATACGTCTAGAAAGAAAGGTCTTAATTCTTAAGTTTGCTGTGGTGTGCACATGCATACACACATACACAATGATTTGGTTTGGAGCTAATCTATTATTTAAAAGTTCTGTAGACAACCACATTACTGGAAGACAAGGAGGAGACTTTTACCACTGTTTTTCCTTATGTATGTGCTGTAAAAATTTTGCATGGTAATTATTGTATATGCAAATTTATATCCTATTTTTCCATTTAATAATAGAAGATCAATTTATATTATAAACTCTTTCATTTTCTTTTAAATTTTTCTACCATTTTATCACCTCTTTTGTTAATTTTAAACTGTGATTTTCAAATTTTTCTTCAATTATAAAGCCCAGATCTGTAAGTAACACTGTAAGTGAAACTTTGACCATTGTATGTACAATATCCTTTGATCCAGAAGTATTATTTTGATGTTTATGTCTTTGTAAAAATTCTAAAAGTATAGCTATAACTTGATATGGATTTCTTTTAGTCACACTTTCTCTTACAAGTCTAGGTTTTGACTTTGCCTTTTGAGAGTTAATATGTATTTATGTATCTATGAGACCTTTTTCTTTGCTATTTTCTGTTAGCCCTCAAATATAGATACAGCCAAGCCTAATTACACCTTCCTGCAGAAGCAAACTAGTGGTTGCTACTCACTTTCTATTACAACTAATCCAGATGAAGAATGGCGAGAAGTCAGGCACACTGGACCTGTTCAGAAGTATGTACTGTGTCATATTCTGTTTGTAAAGGGAACATTAGTTTTCATTCATGTTGCTGATTTTAAGTAGTTTACCTTTTTAAATGTTTTGAAGTTTTCTTTCACACTGACAGTTAATAATAGAAATAATGTTTTCTTAATTTATGAGAAAGTTAAAAAAATTTTAAGAAAACAGTTGTTGTCATTTTATTTAGTTTTATGTTAATAAGACAGAAATGGCAGCCAAAATGTCAAATTTGGTAAGATTAAAGCATTTATTGAAAAGATTTGAATACCAGTGTATGATTTTTAAGATTATATATTCCACATCTGAATATATAGTAGGAAAATGAATTTGCTTACTAGGATGTGCCTCAATTTAAGGTACTTTAGATTTTATCATAACTTTCCTTTCAGAACTTGCTTCTTTGTTTATGTTTTATCTTTTATATGTCTTCTCATGGTGGGAAGGCAGAATTGGGAATCTGTGCATTCGAGGGTGATTTTTATTCCTCTGTATGATTCCTTTTCTGTTTTTTAGAAAACAAAACAAAACAAATGAAAACATGGGACAGGAAAATAGCCAGTATAATAGAAACTATCATATTAGCATTAAAATGTTTACATATATTCTTATTTGATTTAGTTGCTGTCCATGGTTACCAAGATTAAATCAATTGCAGATAACTTAACCTTCTTGTATATTTCTAGTTTAAGAAATACATATGATACCTTTATTATTGACTACATTTGTGCAATGAGTATTACCCTGTTTATTCCAAGATTATAGCCAGGAATTCACAACTGGTCTTATTTCTGAACTTTAAAAGAGCGTGCCAGAAGAAAAATGCCTGATTAGTTGTCATCTGTTTTCTACTTCTTTTTGATTGTGTTCTAATTAGTCATTTTCTTTACGTTCTCTTAAATTTTACATTGTAAGCACTCTATTATGGGAAACTTGCCTCTTAAACCTCCCGTTATTTCTTTATTGCCCACCTCCTGGTTTAGACTAGCCACCAGTAGAGCATAGTTTTTTTTTTAATTAAAAAAATTTTTTTTTATTATTTATGCCTACAGTACCTAGTCTTCCTAGGTGGTCTCCCATCCAAGTACTAACCAGGCTCAACCCTGCTTAGCTTCTGAGATCAGACATTGGGCTCGTTCAGGATGGCATGGCCGTAGATCATGGACTGTGGCTCCACTGAGGCACAAACCCAGGACCTTCTGTGTGTAAAGCAGATGTGCTAACTGCTGCACTGTGGAACCACTTCCAGAGCATAGTTTTTGACTGCTGTCTCTTCTGAATGGAAAGGAATTATTCTTGGGGATTTCCTGTGGAAAGTAGAGCACAGGAAAATCTTCTGTGGTTTATTATATCAGTTTGTTGAAAGTTAAAAATTGTGCAGAAGAGAGAGATCCTCAATGGTATTATAACTGAATGTGAGATATAACCTATTGGCTTAAACAAATATTGAGTCTAGCCCACATGGGAAGAATTGAAAATGAAAAGATAATCAATGAGGGTACCATTAGTAGCTTTGAAAATGAAGGAAAATATAATTGCTTGTTTCCTGACAAATATTTTTACCCTATATTTTAGTTATTGAATACTACTGCCCCGTTATTCCATATAACAAATCTCTTTGATTCTAGAATTTGAAACCCCAATTTATTTTAACTTTATTTTTACTTTTTAAGGTTGATCGTATATCCTCCTCCACCTACTAAAGGGGGATTAGGAGTAACTAATGAAGATCTGGAGTGCTTAGAAGAAGGAGAGTTTCTTAATGATGTAATTATTGATTTCTACCTTAAGTAAGTACAGTGATAAAAGATCTTCTCATTTGTTTTACAGGTTTTGATGTGAATCTTAAAGTAAATGTTTTTATCTCTGAAGTATTAAACTCTAGTTAAAGGTAAACTGCCAAGATTTCAGATTTGAAAAGTTTTTGCCTACCAACGTTTTCTAGAGTTGACTGTCAGTTTCATTCCTTTACTTCCCACAGATACTTAGTCTTCAGGAGAATAGCTGTTTTTTGTTTGTTTGTTTTAGTTTCTGTTTATATTTGATTTATTCGTCTTTGACTATTATATTATTGAGGTAAAAGAAGTACTTACATAATTATGAATAACTTTGGAAACTGAAAAGACACAACTCTGTATAGTTATTTATTGTATCTTTAAGCACTAAAAGAGTTAGCAGTCATTTAAAAAAACCATATCACTATTAGTTTAAAAATAATTTTTAAATATTTGTATAGCTAAGCTGAAGGAAAAGATAGAAAAGTTTTATCAACTTTCATGCAAAGGTAATTTGTTTCTAGCCCTCATTTTGTCCTATATCCCTAGACCTATATTTTCAACACTTCTTCAAGATATCTAATTATTTCACTGACACTTCTCAAACTAAATTTATTATTATCGTACTTAGGCTTATTGTTTTACTAATAATACTATACTTATTCTAGTTACTTAGGCCCCAGGTCTCATCATCTTTACTCTATCTCAGACATTGTAGATTTAATCTCTGCAAGTTTTGTTTTAGGTCTTTAAAAAATATCTTCCGTGTCTCTGTTTAACTTTTGAATATATAGAATATAGTTATAATAACTGTTTTAATGTCCTTTTCTACTTATGCTGACATCTTTGTCAGTTGGTTACAGTTGATTGATTTTTCTCTTCAGTATGAGTTTTTTGTTTTTTGTTTTGTTGTTTTTTTGCTTTTTGCATGTCTGGTAATTTTTTTTTATTGGGTGCTGGGTATTTTTGTATTCCTGCAAATGTTCTTGAATTTTGTTCTGGAACAAAGTTATTTGGAAACAGTTTGATACTTTCAAGGGTCATGCTTTTTAAGATTTGTTAGGCGAGAACAACAAATTAATCCCCACTGCTGAGGAAAGACCTTTCTGAATTTTCTACCCAATGCTTCATGAATCATGAGGTTTTCCAGCCTAGCTGGTAGGAAAAGACATTATTCTTGTGGCTTGTGTGAATGCTGAGTATCGTTTATCTAATATTTTCAGGTAGTTCTTTTCCCAGCCTTAGCTATTTTCTTTACACACATGCAATGATCAATATTCTGCCAAGTACATGAGGACTCTCTGTGGACATTTGAAGTTCTCTCTATATACATACAGTTCTTTCCTTTCCAATATTCTGATCTGCAACCTCGAGCTGCCTTGATCTCTCCAGGCTATACCTGGGTTACATGTTCTCGTGCTGCAGCTTGGAAACTATCAAAGCAGTAAGCTGAGGCATTAGTGGAGCTCACCTTGTTTGTTTGTTTTCCATTTCTCAAGGATCATTCTTCTTCACTGCATGTTGTCCAGGGTTCTGAAAACTATAGTTTCATTTTTTATTCCTTCAGTTTTTTTCTTACTTCAAGCAGGAGGATAAATCTGGTTCCTATTATTCTATCTAGGCTGGGAACGAAAGTTTCCGTCATCATAGGTTCATCACTCTCACTTTGACACATTCAGTTGTCAATTTTAATGGATTCTGTCTCCCAAATTCATTTAATCTCTTCTGCCATCATGAGCTTTCTAGTATTCCTTATCTTAACTAAATTGTTATTTTATCTTTTTAAGTAGTTTCCTTGTGTCCTTTGTGTCTTCCTATCTATTAAGTATATTTTTACAACAATTATTTTTCTTAAACTGCTCTAAGAATGCTATTCTCATTAGAAATTTTTAGTATTTCTTATTACTTGTCAAAATGAGTTCAAACACAATCTGGCGATTGAGAGTCTTGATAATATGACATCAATATGTCTTTTCAGTCATCTTGTAATTACCCTACATTTATTACATAGTCCAGCAGAATTGAATTGTAAAGTTTGCTAAATGAAGCTTATCCTTATTCACTCTTCTGCATTAATGCCCTGTTATTCTTGCTTCCTGGAATACTTACCTCTTTATTTCACCCTACTGAAATTTTATTTCTCTTTCAAGATTCCTTCATGAGACTTTTCTTGATCTTTTAAACAGATATTATTAACTCCCATAATACTTCATTTACATCTCTTTTATGGTACTTATAATATTTTGCCTTATTTTGAAGTTATTTTATTATCATTCTCCTCCTAAAGGTTAAGCATCTTGCTTTTATGTCCTATAATAATATCAAATGTATATTTTGTGACATGAATTGGATCATCTTTGATATTAATTTTAATGTCTTATTAGGATTTTAACTATTTTTTAGACTATTTTCTATTTACTTTTCAAATTGATGAATAACTTTCAAGTAGTAAAATACATAAATCTTAAATGTACAGCTTATGAGTGTTCACATATGTATGTACCCATGTAATCATCACTCAGATCAAGACAAAGAACACTTCTAGCACCCCAGAAGCATCTTTTGTGTCTCCTTCCATGTAGTATATCCTCCCCATAATCACATTTAAAAAACTTCAAGTTGTATTTGTCTTTTATGCTTTAAAAAAAAGCAATTACAAGGTCATTTTTCAACTTGCATAAACATTAGGAATAGCAGAGTTCTCGAATTATGAAGGGTTTGAAATTTAATGATTGAATTATAAGCTTACTGAAGAATTATTTTAGTATAGTAGTGGAAAAAGAATTTAGAAATTAGTCATGTCTCAGAGTTATTAAAGTTTTTCTTGATTTATTTAGGACTGTCAGTTTCAGTTTTATATTTGATTGTGTAATTATTTGGTTAACGTTTCCTTCTACCCTCCTCCTCTGGATTTTAAGTTCTGTTGAGGCGAGTATTTTTTTTTTTTTTTCACCTTTTGTGTCTTTAGTGTAAATGATGCATGACATGTTAGGAATTTGATAAATATTTGTTAAATGTAAATGAATAAGTGGGCAGTTTCTGCTTTAAACGATCTTGATTTAAGTAACTAAAGAACAAAGAAAGCTGAAATTACAGCAAATTGTAAGATTGCTTTGAATCTAATTGGATGTAAAAATGACGATTCCCAAGACACATAAGATAATTGGGGGAAGCCCAGGTAAAAAAATCTAAAAATAATTTTGTTGCTACATTACCAGGTATCTTATATTGGAGAAGGCATCAGATGAACTTGTTGAACGAAGTCACATTTTCAGTAGCTTTTTCTATAAATGCTTGACAAGAAAGGAAAATAATTTAACAGAAGATAATCCAAATCTCTCGTAAGTCAATCTTCTAATATACTTAAATTTTGAGAGGCAAATATACTATTTTGACATTCCTAGTGAAGTAACTTCCTATAGCATTTCTAGAGATAGCAGTATTACCACTTGTGTAGGTCCTGGGTCTCTTTGCTCTATGAGACATTTCTCATGCTTCCACAGTAGCGTTCCCTATTACGTGGAGGCTGACTCTTGCAGGCTGCATTTTCAATGCCTGCTCTTTGAGGGACACTGGAGGTTGGAAGGTAAGAAAGGAAGAAGCTTTGGGTAGTGATTCTGGCATTGGCTATATTTCTTCTATGGGTCCATCTCTCAATGGACAGACCTGCTAGAACTCTAGCTTCCATCTCGCTGTACTTCTTTTTCCCTTTGCCCTTTAGCATAGGGGTATAGCAGTTTCCTACCATGCTAATCTCTGATTGCCTCACCATCCCCCCTTTTTGGACTTTTTCTTGCACTTTTTCTCTTGCCACTGTAGTCAATTCTCTGGATTACATTTTATCTGTCTTAAATATATAGAGTGCTATTTGTTTTCCTGTTTGGACCCTCACCAATATACTATTATTAATTTAAACTGATGTAACATTATAAATATACTAAATATACAAAATGTCATATTTAGTCTGACAATTTAGCTGAATTTCTGTTAAAGTATTTTTTGATGCTATAGGTTTTAATGCTAAAACACATAGAGCAGAGGATAAGGATAGGCAAAAAGGAGGAAGGAGTTATTTTTATTTTTTAGATAGCAGTAGCTTGGATAGTTATTATAGCCTGGAGCCATTTTATCCCTCTCCCTACTCCTAATAATTTGTGTGATAATCTGTATGGTAGACACATGATAAAATTAAGAATTTTTATTTTTAAAAAGTTAATATAAACATTTGTCTACTACTTTACAACTTACAAGGTACATTTTATACATTAATTCCTCTTATAATAGAGCTTTTAGATATGTAGGGCATATATATTATATCCTGAGTTTTCAGATGAGGAAGGAGGTCAATAAAGATTAAATGGCTTAAGACAAACAGCTGGTGGTGAGTGGCAGAACTGGTTGGTACTTAAATCTATCTTCTAATCTCTAGTTCAGAAATGTTTTCATTTGTACTGGGCTGCCTTTAAAAATTGGCTGTGAGAGTTTGTTTCATCCCTTTAAAATAAATAGGAATAATAAGCAAGTTAGAAGATGATGAAATGGGTAAACTGTCAGAATTTGTTGTATTGTTGGAGAAAGAGGGTAGGAATAGGGAGAGTATTAACATTTATTGAGCTACTTAGAACCAAGACAGTGAACATAAAGTTATTTTGTTTGATTCTATGAAAATCTTGAAGATAAATGCCATTGTCTTTATTAGTTGAAACCTAAAGAAGTTAGATAAGTTATTCATAGTTGGATATAGCTTTCCAATTTTCAAGTTCATGTTCTTTCTTTTGTTTATATAATTTATGGTCTAAATGGAGACACTTGAGAGAATAAAAAGAGGCTCTATTCTTAGCTATACTGGGCAACATGTTTATACTGCAGCTATCTAGGCAAACTGGAATGTGTAGTCAACTATATTTTGAGTGTGTTTATAGGTTTGGAACTTGTGCTGATGGACATGGCCTGCCAGGATCAATTAAGGAGAAAATCACAATTTGAAAATATTTTTTGATAATCAGGGTTAATGGAGAAGTATATATGGAAGGGGAAGATTTATTAAATAAATTTGATATTTAACATTTCTGATGTTCTCCTGTTCTATTTTATATATATAGATATTGATTTTTGGTACCATACATTTAATCCCACATTTTGTTTTAAGAATATTAGTCAATATAGAGATAATGAATTTGGCATACCCACCTAGAAGCTGAGGAAATTGAAATAGGTAGATTTCTGCTGTATTTTTAAATTAAAAAAAAAAAATTATTTTTGTTTTTATTTATTTTAAATTAAATTTATTGGGGTGACATTGGTTAATAAAATTATGTGTTTCAAGTGCACAACTCTATAATACATCATCTGTATATTACATTGTGTATTCACCACTCAAAATCAAATTTTGTCACCATATATTTGACCCCCTTTATTTTACCCTTTCTACCTCTCCCCCACCGTCTTTCCCTCTGATAACCACTAAACTATTGTCTTTGTCTATGAGTTTTTGTTTGTCTTGCTCATTTGTTGCTTTCAGTTTTATATCCCACACATGAGTGAAAGGATATGGTTCTGAACTTTTTCTGTCTGTTATCTAATGTAGCTATTATATGCCTAATATATATAAAAGTAATACAAAGTTACATGAGTTATGTTCCAGAGTAAGGGTGAGATACACACATACAAATGCTCATACTAATGCTTGATCTGACATGTATAATTAGTATTCACACAAAAAAAATCCCTGTAAATCAGCTAAAAAATAAGATAACTCAAAAGCAAAGTGGCTGAAGTTACAAACCTTAACCCTGGCCAATACATTCCCTACAAAAGGCTCAAACTATTAGTGTTTGGAAATTGATGACTACATGATACACAAACTCATTACTATGCTTTATGAGGTCCTGCAAGATCTAGCTTCTCTCCATCTCCTTCAACTCATCTCACAACGTTCCCTGCCTCACCATATACTTTAGCTCGACCTACCTCCTTTCAATTTTCAAATATGCTAAGCTCTTTCCTATTTCCTGACTTAATTTTTTTCTCCTAGTACTTTTTATTTGTTTTACAACATAATTTCTAATCATTTCATTTGTTTGTATGTTTGCTTGTTCATTTTCTATTTCTTAGCCTAAAGTATAAGCTCCATGAGGTCAAGGATGTCTTATTTTTTTACTCTATCCCCACTGCCTTTGGTCAGTGCTTGGAATATACTAGGAACTCAAAGTAAAAGATAATGATAATGTGTATTATTGAATGGAGAGAGAATTGTTAGACATTTATTTGAGGATTTTTTACACAGGAACTGAGAATAAAAGATTACATGTGATTCCCATATTCACTTCTATCCTCCTTATCCCATCGTATGTCTGATAAATTCCCAATCAAATAAAGTTAGCATAAGGAAATCTACCAAACACCAACATAACAAAAGAAAACTAGGTGTCTATTCTTAAGATTTTTACATGGAAAACTAACAGAATATACAATAGTTGGAAGTAATTGTTTATAATCTTGTAATGGTTGGTTCATTCTGTAATAAGAAAATTCAGTAAACAAATGATTCCTAAATATTTTATGAAATTAATCTTCCACATAATGTCTAATTCCTACCACATCTTTTAGCCTATTTTGGATCCCGTCTTACTCTTAATGTCTCCCTTTGTGCGGTTGGTTAGGTAGGCAGATGAACAGGGATGGGGCAAAGGTTATCTGTTTCCTGTATCAGTCGATATATAAATATATAGAACTTAATAACGTGTAATTCTCTGCATAAAAAGAAGTACTTCAAGGGACTGATCCCTCATCCAGAAGTCATATACCACCTCTTTTATGCCTCTGTTAAATGCCATCCCCTTTCGAAATTTTTTTTTGACATCCAGAAATTTGGTTTGATATCTTCTTCTTTAACTTCTCTGATGATGTGAAGGAAAGAAACTATTTGTTTTTTTGTGTGTGTCCCAACCCTTTTATAGGTAGCTTTCCTAGATGCTGTAACATTATTCCTTATGACATATTATAGTTATTTCTTGTAGTTTTTTTTCTGCTCTCATTTTTTCAAATTCCTTTAGGGCAGTGTGGGTGATTTTCATTATTTGTTCTTAGGAACCTAATAGATGTTTGTTGAAGAAATAAAATGAAAGATGGATAAATGATGGGTATACTTCATTGTCCTTTAGTTTCCTTATGTATGAAATGAAGGGACATGAGTTTCATCTTTAAAAATCTAAGAATATACATCTCCTTCTTCCTCTTCCATTAAATTTTAAAACATCTCCCTTATCACAGATATAACATTTAGACAATTCTTTTAAGGTTTAATGATAATATTTTGTATTATGCACAGATGGAACTAAACAGAATAAATGGTTCTGGCTGTTTATGTTCAGTTGTTGTACCACTATTGGAATCTATGAAAAATTTTATAAATTGTTGCCTTCTGTCTGTTATGTTATTAGCATTTTTTTTTATAAATAGTGATCAGATTTAAGAATAACCAGGAGTTGTTAAAAGGACATAGTTTTCTAGTGTATTATGTATTATATATCCTGAAGGGGATGGTTAAATTAAATCTAGCATTTTCGATCTATAAAAATGACTCTTGAAATCTTTATCTTAAAAATTTTTTATATATTAAATATATCTGTCTTTCATATTCCCAGTATGGCACAACGAAGACATAAAAGAGTAAGAACATGGACTCGTCACATAAACATCTTTAATAAAGATTATATCTTTGTGCCTGTAAATGAGTCGTGAGTATTTCAGATTAAAAAAATATTTGGGGCATTTTTAGATTAATAATTACTAAGGAATATGGGTACATAAATTCCAAGTATTAAAAATTTTTTTTCTAAAGACATAGCTAAAGCAATGAATTATTTATCATGGATTTGGTTTGACAATAGTTATGTTGTAAATATAATGAAAAAAATAAAATGACAAATGACCACAAGACTATAATGAATGAGACATTGAGGGTTTTTTTTTTTTTTTTGGACTTAAGAAAAGATTTTCTAAATAAAAGATCAAAAGATTTTAGGATGAATCTTCAAATATTTAAGAGACATATATGCTCTTTAAGCTCTAGTAGAAAAATGGTGATGCTTTGTCTGTTTAATAAGGCAGGTCTTCAACAGAAAACACTGACTATGTAAAACTAAATAAGTTTGAATTATTCAGATTTTACCCTAAGTAGTCTTACTACTTATTTAATTGGTTTTGGAATTTGTGTTCTATATTATAGGAGATATTGACAATAGACTTCTTCAAAATGTATATGAAGTTTGTCTTACCTACTTCTTAGCTGTAGCTCAACATATTCTTCTACATTGTTTAGATTTTGTGTTATTAAGATTGTATTTCTTTTTCAATAGATCTCACTGGTATCTTGCAGTCATTTGTTTTCCATGGTTAGAAGAAGCTGTGTATGAGGATTTCCCACAAACCATATCCCAGCAATCCCAACACAACAAAACTATAGGTGATAAACTTAATGTAGATGGTGTTTTTAAATAATGATGACAACAGTGAAATGATTATGGGGAAAAATATGACTTTAAAAAATAGAAAATTATTATCATTAAACTTACTAAAAGAAGTCTGAAATTTTGATAGATGCCCAGCCTCATGTATAGACAAAATGTAATTCTTAAATTATACTGTTATATCGAGTTTTGTCATAGTACTTTTGATAGAATAATCTTGCTGATGTGACTAAGAACCATGCCATGGATCTTTAGGCATAGCTTGAGATCCCGCATTTTTTCTTGATAAAAAAGTAACACAATTTTTGTTGACACTGGTAATTTGGCTAGGTAATATTGGGTCTTTTATGATTCTTCCATGGTTTTTATTATGTTACAACTCAAATCTTAATTAAGCAAGGAAATAAGCTTACTTTCTTTGAGGAAGAAAAAACAATTATGTGTTTTATAGCTGTCGCCTAAGTGGAAAGCAGAATTAATAGCCATTACCATTAATACTGACCAAAATCTGATAAAGCAACTGATTATTTTCCGTTTTCTCTGACCATCCTCTGCTTCAAAAGTGTACTTAAGCAACACTCTATGTTCATAGGTTAGAACTGTTGCTAGGCAAATTAACCATTCTCCACATGAAAAAAATAGATATTTTGATTAGTGATCTATCCTTGAAGATTGCCTTTTTATAGGAAACTAGCCCAGCTAACTGATATTTCAGGTTTTGGCTTTGGGCTTGATGTGTTGTCTAATAATAGCCAACCATTATCAGTTTTATCTGTTCATTGAATTTTATTCATAACATTAACCATGAAAAAAAATTAAATAGACTCCAGGTACTTTTTCCCCTTTAAATACTACTGTGCATACAAATTAGAATTTTTAAACTTATCTAAATACTTTATATTAGACATGAAATAAATACTCATAACTGCTTTATTTCTAACAAGATAATGATCTACATACTACTTCAACACTATCCTTGGATACAGTGGATTCTCAAGTAAGTGTGTTCTTTCTAGACGTGAAAGAAAGAAAACTCATTAATCTGTAAAATAGGGCATAGTGAGGTGGCCTATGATGGATATTGGTAGCCCATAATTTTGCTGATTTATGATTCTTTGATATATTTTGTGGGGATAGGAAAGAACAAGAGAAATTATCATTCTTTTTGCATCTGTTTAGCTTATTTTAACTTTGTTTATTTAGTAGTCTGATCATCTTGGTTGACTACTTTTCTAATTTCTATTGGTTGGATTTACTTTTATTTTTCCTTATGTCAGCAGTTTTTTGAACTTATTGTAATCAATAAGCTAAGCAAGCATATTTTATATTCTATTTTCTATTGTGAATTGTCAATATAAATTATTCAAAGTAGACTCAAGGTCAATCAATATGACTCCTGGGATTAAGGTAGTTACTATTAACTTTTCTTTATATGGGCCTCCAAACTAGTATACATGGTCTAAATTCAGTGTCTTAATTGATTGAGGTAGCCATCTAATACATTTTTTGTATGTACAGATAGCAGAAGCTTCCCTGGCACAGGCCTATCTATGTGTTTACTGTTACTGGTATAGGATGGGCAGAGTCAAGGAGGTTTTTTCTGCTGTCACAGTGGCAGGATAGGGGAGTTTCTTATTGCTTCTACAGCTAGGTTTCCCAAATTGGATTTCTTGGAAAAGTTGTTCTAAGATGCAGTTCACTATAAAAAAGAATTCTAAGGTCACTTAAGTTGGGTAAACCATGTGTGCTATTCTTGTCTTAAAGCTTCACGGTTATATTGGAATAATGAAGATTCTGTGAAGTTCTGCTTTAAAGAAATTTGTTTAAGTTTGATCTGTTGTTTCTCAAATTTATCAACAAAGTATCCATCTCTTTTCCCTTAATGCACATTAATACTCTGCTTCTTGTGCTTCAGAGGGAAGAAATGTGTCTCTGCCGACATCATATATTGAGATTGAAAATGTATGTTAAGCACGGGTTGTTAACTTATTTATTTTTGCGTAAGATGATAACTTTGAATAGAAGTAATTAAAGTTCCAGGTTGTTTTTTTAGGAAATTAAGAGTTCATGACTCGTTGAGACCACATGTAAAGCTGTATAAACTAGTTTCACCAGTATGAGAAAATAAGTCAGTGTATTTTGAAAAATGAAATTAGCTCACTTCAAAAGATGAAAAGAACTCTTATTTGAAATTTTAATTTTAAATAGTAACTGAATATTAATTTATTCAAACTAACTTTAATTGAAAAGTCATAAAAATTCATGTTATTTCAGAGTACCGAGATGAATATGTCAGTACCAAAGAAAATGTGTAAAAGGTAGGTACATGCTATAAAAATAGTTTTTTCAGATATTTAGGTTTACTTCATATACTAATATGTACATCTTGATTTCTTCCTTTGCTCTTCATAGGCCATGCATTCTTGTACTAGACTCCTTGAAAGCTGCTTCTATACAAAACACAGTTCAGAATTTACGAGAGTAAGTAATAACAGTTTTACCCTTCAGTCTGTTACCTAAAATCTTAATAATTTTGAAGCTACCTTAAGAATTACTGGAAAGACTATATCAGCATTATATTTTATTATGGTTAGATGAGGCCTATAAATCTAATCAATAATAAATATCCCCTATTATATGTTAATATTCAAGTACCAATATTTCTCAAGGATTATATCAGAAGTAAATTAAGAATTTATTCATAATTGAACAAAAAGCGTAATTTTACAAACAGCATTGCAAATATTAGTGGTTACCGAAAGTAGCATTTTAGAAGAAAATCACACTTTTTTTTGTGTGTGTGTGAAATTTTTATAATTTACTATAGGATCCAGAAAAAACTAGCAGCTAAAGTTTTTAAATCGTTAGTTTATTTTGTAATATAAATGACTATGTTTTTGGGTTGTGAAGGTTGAGTTGTTGCAAAGGTCTAGCATTTTCTTTGAAACTCAGATGATTTTCTTTAAAATAGGACTCATGAAGCCTCATATATTATAAATTCTACAGTTAAAGTTCAGCCTTTGGAAATTTGGCTTGAGGCAGCACAACTGGCAGCAAATGTTCTTTTACTTTTGTGGAAGTTTTGCATAATACTAAAGAGATTTCTACTCAAGTCATTCTACTTTTTGACAATTTAAGGTATTTAGAGGTAGAGTGGGAAGTTAAACGGAAAACTCATCGTGAATTCAGCAAAACAAACATGGTGGACTTATGCCCTAAAGTTCCTAAACAAGATAATAGCAGTGATTGTGGAGTATATTTATTGCAATATGTGGAAAGCTTCCTTAAGGTAAGTAAAGATATAAATAAGTTTCTTATTCAGTTACCAGCATGTAATCAAATTACTGAGAAAGCAAAGACACAGGAAATGTTATAGGTAATCAAGAAAGAAAAAAAAAAAATGGAACCACAGATAATCCAGATATTGAAGTTAGCAGATAAGAACTTTAAAATGATTTCATTAATATGTTAGAGAAAGTAGTCAAAGATGAACAAAATGGATGAAGGGATAGAATCTACTAAACAAGTGGGCATTTTAGAGTTGAAAATGTATAATGATATCTGAAATTAAGAACTTATTGGATGGATTTAATAGCAGACTGGATACAGCAGAAGACAGGATTAGTGAATTTCAAAAAAAAAAGACAATAGAAAGTATTCAACTTGCTCAGAGAGAAAAGAGAATGTAAATAAGAAAACAGAGCATGAGACAAGTGTGTTATAGTCAAAAAAATCTATTTTACATGCATTTGGAGTTCCAGAAATATTATATGGTGTGAGTGGGAGGAGAGTAAGTTAAACAGTAATTTGAAGAAAAAATTTCAGAAAAGACTCACGTATTCATGTAGCTCAGAAAACCATAAGCTAAATAAGTACAATGATAAGCATGGGTGCTATTTTCTAGCTCATTAGAGACTCTATAGGAACTGTAGCAATATTAAAGAAGAAATTTTAAGTAGCAAGGAATCACTCTGCTTTTTGAACTGTCTCACCATTACTCCAGTCATTACCAGTATTTATGAAGATAGGAGCAGGGTATATATGCTTGCTTGGAAAAATCCTTAACAGTACTTCCAAAGTGTGAGGGTTATAGTATGTAGTTACAACTTTTGGTATAATATAGGGTAGAATATGGTACATATTATGGAAACCATTAAACATGTTAATGTTGGTTTTTCCCCCTCATTTTTTATTCCACATTGGAACTTTATTATAAGGTGACAGTTCTGATCTTTTAATACTCTTTCCAAAAAGATTTGATTTTGTTTTTAGAATATTCAAAATGCCTTATTACATAACATATTCTCAGTCTGTTACATAATTCTGCTTTATAGACTCAGTTCAGTAGACTATACCTCTAATATAGGTTGCAGCACAATTTAAGATTCCTGAGGGAAAAACACAAAAAACGAAACCTGTGTTTTACAAATTTATGTACTAATATAACTGAGCTTAGGTGGAAAAAAAATAGGTTTGGGGTGAACCACTCAAAACCTGTGGAACTTATAACTAATAACTAAACTCAATCGAAAACAATATTAATTCTAATAAAAATATTTGCATAGTTAAATCTCTGCTGACATTTGCTCCCAGAATCACAGCCAGCCTATCCTTTCAGCATACTGTGGGACTCTTAATTCCTTCTTCAAGATATAAGTCCTTATTACATCTAGATTCTCATAGTTTCATCAAGTTTATAAACATGCTAAGGGTAACCTTCTTTAGCAGTTACTTATATTTTTAAACACAGAGAAAAGTCTTTGCAGTTGCAATATGCAATTTCCTTGTTAAGCTTAATATGGAAAATACAGCAATTCTTGAAGCCATAAAATTGGCTATTTCTTGCACTAAAAGGAGGCACTTCTGCAGGATTTTCTATTTTTAATCTGAGATTCTTCATTTACTGCTATGGCTTTCTCTTTGTTTTAATGGTTTCAAAATATTAACATGCTGGGAAAAATTGTGTTGAAATCAACCTGACTTCTGCATTGCGCTGAATCATTCTCTGTTTGCTAATTCTGTTTTCACTATTCATTTAAATACCATTGTAGCAGAACAGACAATATTTAATTTTGATGTTCAAAAGCAATTTAATGAAAATGTTCTATTGTCGATTGTGGTGATGGTTGCAGATCTCTGCATATACCGAAAACCATTCAATTAAATGTTTTAGCTGAATTGTATGGTATGTGAATGATATCTCAGTAAAGCTGCTATTTAACCAAGTTAGCAATTTTTCATTTCTTGTAAAAATGAAATTAAAATAAATTTGGTTTATACCATTACAGTAATTACATTCTTTCTTTTCTCTTTAGGATCCTATTGTTAACTTTGAACTCCCGATTCATTTGGAGAAATGGTTCCCTCGTCATGTAATAAAGACCAAACGAGAAGATATTCGAGAGCTTATTTTGAAACTCCATTTACAGCAACAGAAGGGCAGCAGTAGCTAGTTAATCTGTACAAACATGACACAGATGTTCTATACGATTACTGGAAAGCTGCTTACCAGCATTTGTGTTAGCCAGCTCACAGAGAAGAAAATAACTTACTGTAGTTTTATAAGTCATTGAGCATTATTTAAAATATATAAGGTATATTATTAGAATAGATGGAGCAGAAATGGGATATACATAAACTTAGAAATTAAAATTTCATAAATATTTGGTATTTTTGATTAAATATGCTTGGATTATGCAATAGCATATGTAATGTGGGAATGTTTTTTGTAGATAATAAAACTTTGTGATCTTTACTTCCACATAACTGGGAGTTGAGGGGGAGTTAGGTCCTCCCTGGTGCCAGCCCAGTGCTTGTCAAATTTGTTGACAAGTCACATTATATTGTAATTCTTTACTTTGCAGCTCAAGCATGCAGTATAAATACTGTGTATTTTTTTAAAAAAGAATTTAGTATCAAGACTTCAGAAAATGCCATTTACGGCATCCCTTCTGTATAGTGTAGAGAAGACATGTTAGGAAGATGATAAAAATTCAGTCTTTCAAAGCGCAGCTTATTTTTCTCAATTGCTAAATGGAACCATTGCTCTGCTGTAATTTTTTTCCCATTTTTTTTTGATGTCATATGTGGGGTTCTGAGAATTTAGTTCATTCAGGGTAAAATTTGGAATAAAAAATTTAATTATCCAAAATAGGTTTTAAAAATTATATATGTAACTCAACTTAGTTTATTTGAAGTATAGCTATATATTGAATCCTACATTATCCCAGAATATATGTACACAATTTATGTAAGTATAGAAGATAACATTGGTATCCTCATAACTTTAATTAAAAAATACCCTCAAAGTCTTATTTATTGTTAGAACTAGGCATATAATTTTATAGCTTTGTTACCCAGTATTCATCTGTAAAGCCACATTGCTCTCATTGCTTTTATATTTTTAAATTGTAGTTTTCAGAGACCTATAATCCCCATGGAGCTTAATTTTTTAAATGTTTGGATAACGGTTCTGAATTTATGTTATGATGGTGGTGTTATATACTTTACAACCTTCTAATGTTATTAGGAATATTTTGAGGGGACAACTATAATGTATTTTCTCAAATAAGAAAAATGTTTTTTAAGACTATTTTAATCTTTTGTTTTAAGCATCTCTTAGATTTGCATTGTAACTGTATATAAAACAGTGAGGCAAAGGCAATTTAAGATAAAGCTAAATATAGGAACATTTTATTTCAAAATCATGTGAATTGAGGTTGTCAGTTAAGCCTCAATATTCTTAAGCTTTTGTTACTCCTGTCACCATCTTTATGTTGTTAAAGAGACTTGTCTTTTGGAGATTTCCTATAAAGATGCTTATAATTACGTGTTTCATTCCCAATTTGTGTGTGTGTGGGAGGGGACTTTTTTAGGTGACTATTAATTATTTTGTACATCTAATTTTGGAAAAGCAAGTATATAATACATCTTGTGACTTAACTTTTTTTGTGTTTTTCAAAGATACCACTGTCCTTTATCATGTTTTGAAGATTGTTTAAAATTCATTTTTTTAAATTCATGTGGAAATAATGCTTTGAGAATATCAACATTTTATATTAAACGTGTTTTCAATACATTAAATTGAGATGTAATTTTGTTCTTAAGAAATGTGAACCATAGTTAGAAATAAATTTTGAATCGTAAGATAGCCAGTGCAAATCATGTAACTGATGCTTAGATTAATCTTTCTTCCTGTTTAACAAGCATATAGTTAATTTGATTGTCAGTTCAGGGAACATTTTTGGAGTATCTACTACTGGCAGGCAATTTGTTAGATATAGTAAAATGAATGACAGCTCTTATTCCTGAATCATTTATAGTCTAACTGGAGAAGTAGATATATGAATAGCCCTAATATTCTCTATAAAAACAATCATAGAGTTTCTTTGGAAGTACAAGAGGGAGTTCAGCCTAGAGAGGGGTGTGTGTGTGTGTGTGAATGTATGAATGTGTGGTAGTGAGAGGTGTAGAGAGATATTAAGAAGGTTGTTCCTGGACAGGGAAAAAGCCTTTCTAGAGAAGATAATACTGTTTTTAATTCACAAATCTTAGGATAAAAGAAAAAGATAGTTTTTAAAAAAGTCATATCTAATTCCTTAAGAAAGACTTAGAAAAAGTTTAATATCTCTTCAAATCAGTTTCTTTTTACATTAGAGGGAAATATAGGTCTAGATTTGTCATACAGAACCCTTTCTAATCTGGTTCCAACCTGTATTCTAGCCTCATCTTTCCACTGTCACCTACTTTTTAGTCATATGCAATTATTAATTTATATTTAATTATTTTTGGCTTAACACCAATGTTAAGCCCTTTATTCATCAGAAATTATCTTGGGTTTTCTTTCTTTCAATACTATTTCTTTGAAAATGTACTGAGCTAAAACAAATGTGAAATGTTAGCTGTATTTAACATTGATTTTAAATGGTGAAAAGACCTTTAATTGTTAACTGTGTCCAAACTGGGAGAACTGTGAGTAGACTTACATACTCTGAAGGCCTCCTTGACTAAACTGTATAAAACCCTTCTGGGAAACATAGGCCCCTGCTTCCCTCTGTAGAGTCTCTTGTAACTGGCCTTGTCCTTGTGGAAATTTGGAAACGTTGCCGAGGGACTGTTAAATGACATGGTTCTGTATGGTTGAGGCTTCCTTATGTGGGTGTGGTCTGTACCCACCCAGGTAGTCTCTTCTTTTACAACTGAGTGCATCCTTCTAGGGGCTGGAGAAATCAGTGTCAGGACTCAGAAGGACTCCAGTTGAAGTCAAGTGCTTTACTTGATGCTATCATGGCAACACTGTTTTTTGGGCTGTATTCTAGTACACAGCAAATGTGCTAGATTATAGGCCATTGTCCTGTGACTGCGAGAGTCACTTTGAACTCAAGATCACAGTGGTTTATGGAATAGGCATTACAACATTGTACCTCCACACCTCAGCCTTGCACATGCTATTTCTTCTTCCTTTTCAGAGCACCTTTTCACTACTTCTTGTGAACTTTATTTTTTTCAAAATTTGGCTCAAATGTCACCACTTCCATACTTTCTCAAACAGAATGATTCATTCCCTCTCCTGCTCCCCCTTAATGATTTGTTTATATTTCTCATCAATTTTATTTTATTATTTGTATACATGTTTTTCCCTTTAGACTACAGGCTCTTAGATGACTGAAACATTTGCATTTCTTATATTTAGTATGTTAGTAGCATATGATAAATACTCAGAAAATTTTGCCGAGTCAATAAATGATTCTCAACTGATTTGGTATTAAGTATGGATGAAGGAACCTGGTATTCGTTATTTCTAAAACACAGAGTTTTATGTTTAGTTTCTTATTTGCCTATAATTTCTGGGACATTTCTTGAAGCATAATAAGATTCAAGGACCATCAGATGAAATTTTAAAAGGAATCTCCATAAATAAGAACTCTTAATAATTAAACAGATAATCTTTTCATCTATAGGGAAAATCCAAAATTCTTGGTTAAACTTTTAAGGTATTCATAATCTACCTCAACCTTTTCAGCCTTCATTCTCAACCTATTTACTCTAAGCTCCTCTACCTGCTCTAGCAAATATCTATTTTCTGTACAAACAGTGTATTTTTCTATCTTACTGATGGTGACCAGGGTTTCTTTCCTAACCACTATTCCCTCCCACTAACCACCCCCACTTCTGCCCACTGAAATGCTACCCAGCCATTCAAAGCCTAGCTGAAATATTATCTAGTAAAACCCTTTTACTTTTCCAAGTGTAATTAATCTTGCTTCTGGGTTCCCATGGCACAACTTTATGGTACTCATCACTGGGGCAGTTAAAATTACAATTATATTAAATGTTAAAATGAATTTATAAAATGACAAACCTACTTAGAAGCAAATGAACCCAGTTGAAGTTTTCTTGCTATTATTTTATTTTTATTTATTTTTTAATTATTTATTATTACTTATGCCTACAGCACCTTGTCTTCCTAGGTGGTCTCCCATCCAAGTACTAATCAGGCCCGACCCTGCTTAGCTTCTGAGATCAGACATCGAGCTTGTTCAGGGTGACATGGCCATAAACCATGGACTGTTGCTCCACTGCAGCATGAACCCAACGTGGCTCCACTTCTGCATGTAAAACAGACATGCTAACTGCTACACTATTGATGTCCATGTTTTTTTTTTTTTTTAAAATACGGGTTTCTGAAATCTCACAAACTATATTTTATAGAACAATATAATAAACATTTTTAAAGTTCTTAAGTAAACACTTCTTATTAAATTATGGAAGCTCCATTCTGGAGCTTGAACAAAAGAGAATTCCAAAGTTTGAAACCTCTTAAAACTTTATGCACTTGTAATAAAAGACAAATAGTATACATTAGTTTACAAAGAATCTTCATATTTCCAAATTTTTCCCGGCAACCTTGCTATATGGGCAGAGGTTATCATACCTAATTTCTTTGGTGAGTAAACCATTTCAAAGAGTTTAGGTAATTTAATAAAATCAAATAGTGGTCAAAACAATATTTGAGCCCAGGTTTTTTTCTCATTCCAGAATACTGTGATTCTCAGATTTCCTGGCTTGTTTTATAACGTATTCTCAACTAATACCTGTTACCTTAAAGTTCTCCCTTCATCTGCATTGCCAATATGAAGCTCTTCTTTGAACTTTAAAATTTGGCTTAGCTAGTAGAATTTTCAGCTTTTTTTCTCACACTCAACAATAAAGTTTGCCAAATAAAATACCAATATTTTGCAAATGCTTGTGTACACATGAGTTTAATGGTCATTTAGGTTTCTTAGCTTATATAAAGGCTGAAAATGTGGTTTGTATGAAGCTGTATTGAAAAATATACTTGGCAAGCTTTTCCTGAAGCATAAAACCTTAAGGGTTAACTAGCTAACATAGTTTAGGATTCTCAAGAGAAACGTGCTTTAAACCTTTACAAAACTTTTTTTTTTTTTTAAAGAGAATGTCCTGAAATATATGACATAAGATACATGACATTTATTTCAAATTGATAGTAAATCCTAGCTTCCACAAGGATTTTAACTAAATTTCTTTCTACCAGGTTCATTTGATAAAAACAACTGTCCTAATACAAAGCATTTTATCTGGCCCTACTGTGGAGAAGGCTATCCTTTCTTGATCAAGAGTTCATGTCAATAAACACACTGGACCTCATTTAATAGTAAACTAAGCAACAAAGTTGTTATCACATAGCTATCATTTATATTGTGTGCTTAGTATGTGCCAGGTACTATTCTAAGTATTTTCAGTGTGTTACCTAATTCAATCCTCACCACAGCTCTATCATATCCCATTTTATAGTTTAAGGAAGGAGACATGGTAAGTAAAGATTTTCAAGGTTTTTATCAAGGAGGGAAATTTAAGGACAGTAGCTTTATTACAAAGAGAAAACAAACTTACTTTGTTTTGCATGTAGCTCAGCACTTCTGAATTAGATCAGTATCGTCAGGCTTACATCTTGTAGGTCCTAGAAGAACCCAAAGAACATATGTATCTATCTATTGACTAATAGATTTATAAAAATTGTAAAACTTAATTGAATTATTCATGAAACATTATTTTTACATGAACTGCTTGTTAAAGGCAAGGAGAGTGTTAGTAAAGAGCTTAGCTGGCTAGATTAGAATAAATTGTCTCTCCCCATCTGTTCTAATTAGCTTATCTCTCCTACTTTCATAGCATGCTGCTTAGTTCAGAGAAGAAGTGAGAGGTAATTTGAAAGGACACCGTTTTTATTTAAGCTAATATATAATGGTTCTGGAATGTTTGTCAATTTGCGAACATAAACTTTTAAGTGTTAGGCCTTTCCTGTAACAATTTGTTATTGGAAATTTTAAGGCTTTGGGTGCTCAGTTAAGGATTTTGCCTTTCCTCATCCCTTTGGTTTTGGCCAAATGATTATGTTTCCTCATTTTAAGAAGATTTTGTGTATTTTGATATTTATCCTGATTGAAGAAAACCTTCCATCATTAACAGGTATTTAAAAATTTACATTGTTTTTATATTTATGTTATATTCTCTCTAATAGTTTTGATGTGACTGCTATAAGAAATTGCATTCCAATACTACTCTATTAATCTTTGATGTTGCTTCATTTAAACTTTTAAAATCTCTTCAATAATTTTGGTTTTTCTATTCATTAGTAATTCCTGGTTCAAACCTTTACTTCCTTTTATTTCTTGTATTGAAATTGGTTGTATACTTGATTTCAGTAACTAACAATCTTGAAATAAAGGTGTAGGAATTAAATGGAGAAAAGACTGTTTCACACTTCTCCTTAGGCACAAACGTCAGTTTTTCTTTATACCTTTCCTTATAACTTTCATACTGTATCTTCATTTATCATCAAAAGCATTGTTTATGCTTTCACTCTGTAGCACAAACCTACTTATCTTTAGGAGAAATCCAAGAACCCGAGAGTGCAGTTTCTTTTCTCCCGACTGACTCAGAATCTGCAGACCCTTCTCTGTCTATGGAAAAGAAACAACTTCTGGACCACAGAGAGGCCGAGATTCAGTGGTTGCTCAGAAGAAGGCGATCCACCCTGTTTCCTAATGGAGTAAAAATCTGCCCAGATGAAAGTATTATAGAGGCTGTGGCAAACCATGTAAAGTATTTTAAAGTCCGAGGTAAGCAAATATTCAAACCCTTGGGCTCTGTAATGAAATTCAAACATAGTTTTCTAACACATTTATTGTATTTCATTATAATTCAAAACTTGTAAAAATTTAGATAGAGACTGAGCCAAATATTACCTTTCTGCTAGCTGTAGAAAAAGGATTTGCTAAGAATACAGTATTTATACAGCTTCAGAGAAAGTTTCCATTAAGAGAGGAAATGCTTTAAAATTTTTGAGCACTTCAAAAATACTAGTTTATATTACTGGATAAATTAATTATAATTTTTACTTCAATATAGTAATTTGCCTCAATATACCCATAAAATATATTTGTCAAATTACATTTACCTATTTGATTAATTAGTTATTTTATTTACATGAAAATGTAATCAACTTTAATATTTTCTAGTGTAGATATTCTATAAACTCATGCTGATTACTCTCTAGTTGGTAACCGTATTCAACAAATGTTTATTTAGCACTTACTATTTTTCAGGCACTGGGCTATACAAACTGTCAGTCTGAGCTGTTCTTTTATCTTCTTTATTTTCCTTTATTTTTCACATTTTTTCCCAGCTTTATTGAAATATAATAGACAATTAGTTGTTTGTATTTACATTGTACAATTAAATTTTTCCAATTATAGCTGGCATACAGTAATATATTAGTTTCAGTTGTACAGCATAGTGATTAGAGATCTGTATAACTCACGAAGTGGTCACCTACTAAATCTAGTACCCCTCTTCCTTCTTACATACTTATTACAACATTACTGAATATTTTCCTAATGCTACACTTTATATCTCCACAACTATTTTGTAACTATCCATTTGTACTTAATCCCTTTGCCCTTTTTCACTATCCTCCCAGCCCCCTTCCCATCTAGTAGCCCTCAAAATATTCTCTGTATCTATGAGTTTGTTTTCATTTTTGTTGTTGTTATTTTCTTTAGATTCCATATGTACGTGAAATCATGTGGTATTTGTCTTTCTCTAACTGACTTCATTCAGCGCAATACCCTCCAGGTCTATCAAGGCAATATCTTTTTCCATCGCTTCCTTTTAGTCTGTGTGTGTTTTTTGTAGGTAGCACATATGTGGGGGTCTTGTTTTCTTATCTATTCAGTCACTCTGTCTTTTGGTTGGAGCACTTAATTCTTTTCCATTTGAGGTACTTGTGGATAGGAATGTGGTTATTATCATTCTTTAATCATGTTTTTGTTTCATGTTTTTTCTTCTTAAAGAAGTCCTCCCAACAATTCCTGTAATACTGACTTGGTATTAATGAATTTCTTTAGCTTATTTTTATCTGGGGAGCTCTTTATCCATCTTTGACTCTAAATGATAGGTTTTCTGGAAAGAATATTCCTGGTTGTAGATCTTGGGTTTTCATCACTTTGAATATTTTGTGTCAAGTCCTTCTGTCCTGCAGAGTTTCCTTTGAGAAATCAGCAGCCAGTCTCATGGGTGCTCCCTTGTAGGTAACTTACTGCTTTTCTCCTGCTGCTTTTAATATTTTCTTTGTATTTAACCTTTAGCATTTTAATTATGATGTGTCTTGTATGGGCATCTTTGGATTCCTCTTTCTTGGGACTCTCTGAGCTTCCTGGGTTGTATATCTATTTCCTTCACCAGGTCAGGGAAGTTTTCCATCATTGTTTCTTCAAATAGCTTTCCAACCTCTTGTTCTCCCTCTTCTTTTTCAGGTACCCCTATGACATGGATATTTTTACATTTAATTATGTCCCATAGGCTTTTAAATTATTGTTATAGTCTTGGCTTCCTTTTTCTTGCCATTCTGATTGAGTGTCCTTGGCTTCCTCATCCTCTATATCAGTGGTTTGATCCTCTTCTTCATCCACTCTGTTGATTCCCTCTAATACACTCTTCATCTCAGATAATGTGTTCTTCGTTTCTGACTGGTTCCCCTTTATAATTTCCATTTCCATTTTTTATGTTTTTATCTCTTTGTTAAAGTTCTCAGTGAGTTCAACTACTCTTCCCTTAATTTCTTTCGGCATCTTTATAAACAGTGTTTTGAACTCTGCATCTGTTCGATTGCTTGACTCCATTATTTCTGGATTTCTGCTCTGTTTTCTCACGTGGTTTCTACCTCTTTGTCTTCCCATTTTGGCTGCCTATCTGTCTGCTTCTATGTACTAAGCAAAGCTCCTAAGTCTTCTAGTCTTATTAGTGTGGCTTTGTGTTGTAGGTGTCCAGAGGCACCTGCTGAGGGGCGTTCAGCTGCAGGCCAAGTTTAGCCCAAGCCTGTGCCCTTCCGGGGCTACCTGTTAAGATTTAGCAAGCAATCCACAGATGCTGTGCTTATAGTTGCCTCAAGAAGCCATACCAGAAACCGAGGTCAGCTGCCACCAGTGTGAGTCTTGGCACTACTCAGTCATGAGCACTGATCTCATGGAGGATACAACTGTATGTGGCTTGGGTGGGGCTGCGAGTTGGGGAAGACGGAGTTTCAGGGAATCCTCTGGGTGGAGCGACCTTTGTTTTCTAGTTTGGTAATGTCTCAGCTATGGTGACACTGCTTCAGCACAGTGGGAGCAGAGAGGGCTCAACAGAGGAACAATGGATACCGCCAGCACTGCTATGGGGAGAAATCCTCTCCTCTGGCCCTGTATCTGACAACTCAGTGTCCTCCTGTAAGTCTCTGGTGACCCCGAGCAGTCGACCAGGCACTGGTGCTTAGAGTAAACAAGTCCCATCACCATGGAAGTCTGGTGGTGGATACGGTTCCTTTAAGAGACGTCTGCAGCTGCAACAGCTTCTGTCCCACTCAGCTGCTGTGGACCTGGCAGCCTCATGTCTCCGCCCCCTCCTATCTTCCTCTGCTGCAGGGTAATTTTTTATTTCTCCCTCTAGTTGTAGTGCTTCTGTTCATCTAGATCCCAGGTGAGTTTGCTTGCTGTTTGCTTCCTGTTTTTGTCACAACTTTGATTTTGTCACAAGAGCGATGAACAAAGCCTCTATCATCTATATCATTATTTTAAAAAAACCTTTATTTTCTTTTATTTTGTCCTTCTCTTTTTCTTCTCTTACCAAAGCAAGTGTTTTTAAATGAAAAATTTAATACCAGATATATATTTATATATTTGATTTTTTGTTTCTTAAGGTGGCACAATGTATTAGCACCTTTTTATTTTTTTAACTTTTTTTGGAGTGTATTTATATGTCCTGATTGTATTTGGGGGCTATCAAACATTATTAAGCAATAAGCTTGCCTTTTACTTTTAAATCCATTTGACCTGGTCTTTTGTGTATAGGGCATATGCCAGTAGTGGCAAATTCTAAAAAGCATAAGAAGAGAATAAGTGAATTGAAGATGAATGAGGATGATAGTTTATAATTTATCAAAATATGATTTCTACTACATGGATTTTTACTTTATGTTATTTTAAAGTAGAATGGAATAGCTAGATAGCTGCTGGTTAAATGATAAAAAGGAAATAACCAATTATAATCAATCATTTAAGGAATATGGTTATGCCTTTTACTTGCTTTTCTCTTGTATTTAGGAATTCAAGAGATACTATTGAAAAAGAGCCAACAAAAAGAAAAACAAAACATTCTTAGAATAATTGACTTTAAGATACAGGTGCTGTGAATGAAATTCTTAGAAAGGGAACTTAAAAAGCTAAAAAGGCTAGGACAGCACATCAAGATTGCAGCAATGTTGATATAACTATTACTGGCATAGTAAAAGGTAGCTATTTTATTTGTTAATTTTTGAAAATTAGGTAAAATGAATATTCAGCATAGATCTTGATTTTGAAGAGATTTTGAGGAGGTAATTGTATTATACCCTTGGAACCAAATGTTTGGAATTTAGAGCGAGAGATCCACTTAACATCTAATCAAGAATCTTAGCTCTTTACAGCAAGTTAACTCATTCTAGTGATTTGCTCAAATTTTTCTTCATAGAGAATTTGGCATCAGTTGCTAGTTGGTTTAATAGATTTGAAAAATATTTTCATTTAAGCAAGAAGCAATTACATTTAACCTAGTGATTTATAAAATGAAACAGATATTTAGAATGGTTGGAGTAGAATGTAATTAATAGTACCTTCTCATTTTTAAAAAATGTTTGTAGTTGGGCCTTTTAAAATATAGCTTTGTTAAGGTATACTTTGATGGATTATGAACTGCACATATTTAAAGCATATAATTTGATTAGTTTTAACAAATGTATTTACTCTCAAAAATATCACTATAATTAAGACGCTTAATTTATCGATCACCCCGAAACATTTTCTCATGTGTCTTTATAATCCCTCCCTCCCTTACTACCTTCCTTTACCTTAGTACTGAAGCAACCACTAATCTGCTGTCTATCACAACGTATTAGTTTTCATTTTTTATACTTTTATATGTATGTGTCATTACACTGTGTACTCTTTTTTCTGGCTTCTTTTACTCAATGCAATTGTTATTATTTTTGTCCAGTTTGTCATTTTATTTGGAAATTTCATATTACTATTTAAAGACTAAAAATAGGCAATGTGTCTAACACAGATAAGAAAAAATTAGTTAACAATAGTGACTTATTTTTAAAATAACCAGACAAATATGAAGTTATATTATTTAAAAGAGGTTCCATGCCCTCTCTTCCTCTAACCACATGCACATGCACATATACATGTGACCCTCACATAACACAATTTCTAAGCCTATCTCCTACTGTAAATTTTACTTTGTGACTAGGGAA